GATGTCTCAGGCCACTCAGAGCCCTGTGGGCTGGCAGCCAGCAGTTCCCAGGACACCATGCCTGCCAGGCATCCAGAAAGCAATTTCCCAGTGCAAATCTTGTTTTTCATGGCCCATTAGCACATTGCTGCATTCTCAGCCACGCTGGACCCACTGTGCCCTCTCTGTCTCTCTGCCTGGGAGCTGAGTGTGGCCACCCTGACTGCTCACACCCATGCCCTGGGGAGCAGCCCCTTCTCCTCACAGTGGTCCCCCTGTTTCTTCCCCGAGGTTGGCAGACAAGGTCCTTTTTGTTTCCAATGCCTCCAGCTCTCCTCACCACTTCATAGATAATGATGCCTGTACAAGGCATTGTTTCTTGAGCATTTACTATACTCCAGGGATTGTGCTAAGCCCATTGCATACCTTATTATCTCACTGAATCCTTCAAACAACTGCACAGGGTGAGCATTGTTCTTTTCTGTATTTTATAGGGGAGGAAACAGGCTTCCAGAGGTTAAGGAACTTGCTAATAAGCGGCTGGATGCAATTTGGTGTGGCTCAGGAGTGCCTGTTCTTATCCACATAGAACTTCACTATCCAGTGGGGTGGTCCCTAGCCACAGATAGATATTTAAATTAAATAACATAAAAAATTCAGTTCTTCAGTCTACTAGCCACATTTCAAGTGCTCTATGACGATTTGAGGCTAGCTGCTGCCATATGGGACAACACAGACCCCTGCCCAAGACCTCCCAGTGGGGTTGAGATCTGAGATACCAACTTCCAGCATTTGTCTCACACATACCCCCCACCCTGCCCATATCCAGAGCCCTCTTGCTAACACACTTCACACCCAGGGTGATTCACGTGTGCCTGTCCTGCCCAGAGGCTCATGGCATCACATAGAAGGGCACCAACTGGGCTGACCACACACAGCTGTGGGCAGGCATGCCACCGTGACCCTTTTGCACCCAGAAATGCTTTCACAGGTCCCCCCTGGACCCATCCACAGACATCCACCACCCACCCAGGGCCCTTACATTCAGGCCTCACCCCTTCCTCTCAGGATCCCAGGTCACTGCCTCCCGCCCTGCCCTCCCTACCTGGGTCTCCTCCCCTCTCCTTCCCTGTCCTGCTCCCAAGCTCCTGCCTATCCACCTGCTGGCCTGCAGCTCAGCTCAGGGCCACAGACAGAGTGACCTGGCTCTTTTTGCCAAGGCTGCTCAGGCATGATCTCATGCTCATACAGGACAAGAATACAGAAATATGCCTTTTTAAACAGGAAGTTAGGGCTGCAGGCTTGTGGCCCCTACTCTTATTTTTGGTGCAGATTCTCCTCTCCATGATCCCCAGCACCATGGCAGGCAAGAAAGAGCCTTCCCTGACCTTGAGGCTGTACACGTAGAATGAGAGCTTCCCTGGCCCAGGCCACTGCCTCACCGCATTCAATACTCTAAGTGCCTGGAGCCATGCTGGCATTTTGCACTTTACCTCATCTAATTTCCCCTAGAAATCCAAGGGACAGATGCTTTCATTGGCCCTGTTTTTACAGGATAAAACAGAGAGGTGAAGTGCTGGGTTCAGTACCACACAGTTGGGGGTGAGTCACGCTCAGACCACGGAGCCCAGAGGCCCTCTTGAGAGTCATACTCCTCTGCCTTTGGTGGGGCCAGAAGGGTGTAGGTGCCTTGGACTCTCCTCACAGCCTCACTGGGAATGTGCTTGCTCACTTGACACCTCAGTTTCCTGATTTGTGAAATGGAGGATCATAATTCCAACTTCGCAGGGTTCCTGTGAAAGCCAATAAGTAGCTTACTGGTGAATATGCATTTGAAGGGAGGATGACTTCTGGGTGGAAGGTGGGTGCCCTTTAGATCAGTAGCTCTGACCTGCTTTTGCTGAACTGCTCGCTCTGAGCATAAAGCTATGCATCCTTACCCCAGAAAAAATGCACATACCTCTGCTCAGAGGCAAAGGCTATCCTTCAAGGGGTGTAGGCTTCCCCACCCATGTTAGAACCTAGTTAGAGAGTCTGGGATTCACACAAAAGCCTGGTGCTGTGTTCCGAGGAGTAAGTTCTCTTGCTTCTACAGAGCGGCTCTCAGGTCTCCTCATGCTCCTGGGGCAGAGCCCAGGCTCCTGGGGCTCACTGAGCCTCCCTGCAGAGCCCCACGTGACACACTGTCAGGCCCCCAAGCAGGACAGCCCAGCTGGCTGGGGCCAATCATCTGGATAGCATGTTAAATGAAAATACAGATTCCCTGGACACCTACCCAGAGGTTCGGGTTTAGTAGATCTGGGCAGGGTCTTGGAATATGTATTTTTAAAAGATCCCCAGGAGATTTCTGAAGCAGCCAGTTTGATAACCACTAATCTAAGAGCTTTGCCTAGAATGGAGTTTTGCTTCTCTAGTGGAGAAATAATATCCACTCCTTCCTCTCTCTGCCCTTACTGCCTCCTCTCTCCAGCCCTCCATCCTGCCATTCCGTATTAAATGAACCCCAGCTCTGGACAAAGCATGTGCTGGATGCTATTGAGAGAACCAAGACCCAGCCCCTGCACTTAGGAGCTTATGGCCTCTTTTGTGCTCTTCCTGCATTGAGTTCTCAGAAACTTCCCTAGAAGTGGCCACTTTAAACATTCTTTCCCCTGGGGCCTTTGAGAATCATGGCCTCCAGCTGGACGGGGACCTGAAGTTCTTCTGGTAGGGTGAGCACCTTTGAGAGCCCAGTGACGCCCTACAGCCTTCAGAAGCTGTTCCTAATCCTAACGCGCCTGATGGAAAATCCTCTCCCTGGTCTGGTTCAGGCCCCCTCACTATTGAAGAAATCCACTTTTTGTCCCTGCAAGTAACATTTATGGAGGCCCTGCTGGCCACAGACCTGGGACACCAGGCACAGGGGCATAGAAAGAAAAGGTGAAGTCTTGGCCCTCAGAACTCACTGTTGGGGTGGGAGAGCCAAGCAGAATGAGCAAGCGCAAACCTGGGCTGGTTGGGCAGGTGCACAGCACCCTGGGAGCAGAGACAAGGGGCCTGGAGCTAGAGGTTTCTCAGGGAGGGTGACCTGGGTCTTGCTGCTTTCCTCCAGATCAAGGACAGCAGAGGTGCACAGTCCAGGAAGTCCACTGCTGGGCGGACGATCCGCTTACCCATGAATTCTGGCCTTCTCCTGCTTTCCTATGAGGCCCTATTTCCTGGTCTCTTGCCCCTCCTCATTCTTTTTTCCTCTTCCTTCTCCCCCGTTTCCCCCCTTCTCTCTTCATGCTGCCCAGACATGAAGTCCATGACAAAGTGCCTTGAGGTGTATGCAGAGTGGATATCTGTGCCAGCCTGCAGGCTTCCTAAGTGCCTGCCAGCATCCTCCCCTGCTCCCACCAGCCACCTCTTTGTGGCTTGGACCTGTCTGTATACTTAGAAGTGGGGATCAAAATTTGGAGGGTGTGACAGGGTGTGGCCACATCAGGAACCTAGACATGCAGGCCAGGAAGTGGCAGGCTCACTTGGTAGGCGAGAAGCCAAAAGCCTGGGAATGCAAATATCTGAGTTCTGGATGCACACAGTCTGAACTGTGTGACCTTGAGCTCCACTCCAGACTTAGGGAATCAGAATCTCCACTTTAATAAGATACCCAGGTGATTCCTACACACATCAAAATTAGCCTGTGGTTAGGACAGGAATGCTCGTGATGGGGCTTCTTCTGTGATGTGAAGGGGTTGGGCCAGATTAACTTTGTGGTAGGGGCTACAGCATGGTGCCTAGATGCCAGATCTAGCCCTCAAACTAGTTTTGTTTGGCCCACTACTATGTTTAAAATTTGGGGGGAATAAGTTTCCAGTGTTTAAAAATTGGGAAATTTCATATAAATATCCAGGCTTCTGGCTTTTCTTGAAAAACTGAATAGTTTGGGAAATGGACTGCATGCCACATGGCCCCATGATCCGGCAAGCATGGAGACTCACAGCCTGTGCCCCAAATGCTCTTCCAACTGCAGACACTTTGAAGATCAATCCCAGTAGCTTCTTTGAACATGTGAAAAGATGCTCAGCTTCACTTTTAATGTGAGAATAACAAAGCAAATCTATACCAAGTCACTATTTTCCACCTGCCTCACTAGCAAAGATAAGAAAGTTTGATAAGCCACTGTCTCAACAAGGGCAGAGGAAGGTGGCCCCTCATATGCCGGGGGAAGGCAAGTTGATACAGTCTAAGATGAACACACTGCCAGAGTTGCCAAACAACACCTACCCTTTGACCAATCAATACCCATTCTGGAAGTTTATCCATAGACATTTGACACAGAGGAGACATAATTCTAATCCACACATAGAAGATCAGTTTGTGCAGCACTGTTTGTAATAGCTATAACCTAATGGTCTAACCTAATGGTCCATCAATAGGGGACTGGCTAGGTAATTATAGGACAGCCACAAGATTAAATAGTTAGGGGTGCTTTATGTTACAACATGGAAGGAGGATCTCCAAAATACCCACTGAATAAAGGAGAGTGCAGAACACCATTCAAGGTCAGGCACCCTTTGTGTAGAGGAGAGTATCTGTGCAGAGATGCTCAAGGGCCTGTAATACTGGCTGTCTCTGGGGAGGGGACCTTGGAAACTGGCGTACAGGGAGGGAGACTTTTCACTATCTATACTTTTGTATCTTTCGACCTTTGAACCAGTGTGTCACACTGTCACTGTGTTACCTACTTGAAGAAAATACTAAAAACTTTCAGGGACTTGAAGCCTATGATCTAACACTACACGATTCAGGTGTTTTACCATCTGGTGAGCCTAATTCATTGGGACTTGGGAAGGCTCATCTCTTGTGAGAAGCTACCAGTGGCCCTTCTGGGTTTCTGGTCCTGCTCTGCCCCTGAGTTGAGCTGCAGTGGTTTCTGGGGCTCAAGCAGCCCTGAAGGAGGGCTCCCTACCTAGCTTCGTGTGGCTGCATGGACTTGGGCAGCTCCTGCTGATGCAGCCCTCGGGCTTCCCCTGCCTTCACCCTCTCTGTCTTCCTAGGGGAGCCTTCTCGGTGGTACGCAGGTGCGTGAAGGTGCTGGCTGGCCAGGAGTATGCTGCCAAGATCATCAACACCAAGAAGCTGTCTGCAAGAGGTAAGTGGTGGATCCACACCCTGCCCACCCTCTGGGGCTCTCCTTACCCTCCACCCTCCCTCTACCCCTTGGGCCAGAAGCAGGATGTGGGTCTATCCCCTGGTTGGTGCTGCTGGTGGTGGGGGGGGCTCTTCTTGCTGTGGGCATTTTGACAACAGAGCTCTCCTCCTTCCTTCCTTCCTTGGGGGATGTAGGCTGGAGGCCGCAGACTTCCCTACAGGCCAGGCTCTCTGTCCCTGCACCCAGAGGAGGGCTGATGGGCTGGAGGGACTTCCTTCCCCAACTCCTCCGCACATATCTGCTCTCACCTCCATGTGTCTGCGCCCACCACTCCCTCTGCCTGGGTGCCGTCACCTGGCTCCTTACAACACTGGCTCTTTCTAGACCTTCAGGTCTCAGCTCAAAGTCACATCCTTAGAGAGGCTTCCCTAACCCTCAAATCTGGGGGTCCTATTTTATATCTCTCATTACTGTTTACTTTCTTTGTGGCTTTACCCTAACTAGACTTAGCCCATCCAGTGGCTTGCTTCCTTGTCTGACATCCACCCTCCCTCTTGACTGTAAGCTCCAAGATGGTGGGGATGGGTCTCATCTCTGTTGTATGCCAGTACCCAGGGCTTCACACAGTGGTGCACCTGAAGTGCTCACCAGTGGCCAGGGAACTCCAGGGGCACTCTGAGTCAAATACGCCAGTCCACTGTGATTCCTAAATACTCCCCAGGGGACAATAACACCTGCCTCACACTGGAATCCCCTAGGGAGCTCAGACACTACTGATGCCTGGGCCCCACCCCCAGAGGCTGTGATTTAATTAATATGGGGTGTGGCCTGGGTTTTGGAAGAGATCCCCAGGTAATGCTGATTTGGAAGTGGTCCTAGACCAGCACCCTCCTCACCACCAGGAGATAGAAACACAAGTTCTTGATTCCAGACTTAAGGAAGCAGAACCTGCCGAGGAAGACACCTGGGCGATTCTTGTGGACATTAAAACTTGGGAAACCTGCCCAGGAGCCTTGCTTCTTGCCCTTAGCATGTGCTTAGGGTGGTAATGGAGGTGATCACAGTTGGTGTGTTGGGAAAGGTTATCTTCAAAGGTCCAATCCCTGCCCTGAACAGTGTCTAAGCTGCCCTGGGGCCCGCTGGGGGTGGAGGGAACTCAATTGGTTGAGGCAGGTGCAGGTGCGGGCTATGCAGCCCGTGACCTGTGCAGTGTGACAGGAGTTGTGTGAGGGGCTGGCACAGTGTCCAGGTGTTTGCCTGGCCTCAGCAGCAGCCATGTCCGGGCCCAGGGCCCAGCAGGTATGGGGCTCATGGAGGCTGATCTAGGATGTTCACACTGTCCCCCACTGGCCTCCCAGCAGGCCCTGTGTTGGACTGTGTGTTGCTGCCTTTCATCTCTCTGGCTTAGTGGTGCTGGGAGCCCAGCACTTTCTCCTGATTACTGAACTCCCCCCAGGCAGGCCGGTGTCCTCCAGGCAGAGGAGGCAGGGGGCCCAGGGGGTCTCTGAAGGCCCAGGGCCCGTGATGGCACAGTGAGCATGGAAGTTGGTGTGGAAGGACAAGACCCATGGAGGGTCTGGAGCTAGAGACTAGAGCAGGGGGCCTGGGCAGGCAGGAAGACTGGCAGGACATGAGTGCTGCCTCATGTCCAAATGTGGGGCCTCGCCTTGCTGTGGCTGAGTGGCAGTCTGACACTCCCTCTGTGCTTTGTGATCAAAGAAGATGCCCCAATCCCTGAGACACAGTGGGGACAGGACTAGAGCCACAACTTGGGGTGACAGGTTGAGGTTGGCCCCAAATGAGGGAGGTCAGGGACCAAGGTCCTCCCTGGCTGGGGGGGATCTCGGGCCTGTTGACCATACTCTCAGAGCCCCATCTACACACACACATACACATACACATGCACACACACACCTGCACACACAGACAGAAGGAACAGATGTGTACGGGAGAGAATGGCAGAGCATTGCCTCTTTTGCGGAAGGTGACTAAGCATTCCTGGGGCAGTGCAGACTGTGGGCTATGCCAGGCAGCCGCCACCAAGCCCCCTCTCTGGCAGTTTGCTGAGCCTCTGGCTTCCTGCGAGTGAGGCGGCCCAGGCCCAGGTGCGTGCAGAGGGTGAGAGCTGGGAGGCTCTCCAGGGAGCCTTCCCACAGGAGTCTGCCAGGTGCCCAGCTCCTCTCCCAGCAGGAGGGTGGGGGACAGAGCTGCTTTGAGCAGGGTTCTTGTTTGCCACTCATGGTGCCTGGGGTGGGCAACTCTGGGTGGCGGCTGTGCCCACCGCCGGCTGGCTGCCCCATAGGGAGCTGCACTTCTCTTCCCCAACCGGGCCAGCCCCTTCTGTCCAGTGGTTCCCAAACCCGCGTGATAGTTTTTGTATATATTTTTAAACTAGTCTTTTGAATAAAATGCCCATAGTATAAACAAATCCAAGAAGCCATAAAGACATGAAATGGAATGTAAACATTTTGCTGGTCCAACCCCTGCCACATCCCCTCAGGAACCTTTAAAAAAAATGCAGCTGCTCTAGGTACCCCCCGCCCCGCCCTCGCCCCCACAGAGTTTAATTCATTAGGTGAGGATGAGGCTCCAGCCCTGAGAGACTCCCGGCAGGCAGCGGTGATGAGAGCTGTGCATGCTCAGTGCCAACGCCCTGCTAGGGTATGGTTCCCAGCCACAGGCTTACCACAGCACACACGGAAAGAAGTCATTCACATTTTAGGGTACGCTGGCGCATGGATGCAGCTGGTGCAGCCAGAGGTGACTACCGGAGCCAAGACCTCCCTATGCCCTGCTGCCCACCAGCGCGCAGAGGAGTCATTTCCTTGCTTCCTGGCGACTGGTCCCAGGACACTGGCTGGGCAGCCGGTGTGAGCTCCTTTAGGCTTCAGGTGCACAAGAGAGAGTCCGAGAGGAGGCCGTAAGACACATTTCTCCAGTCTTCCTCATCTTCCTCCCACCCCTGCCTGGCACTCTTGGTCCTGAGGATTATTTCTCCAACCTCCCAGGATCAGGAGCCCTGTGGAGGCCCTATGGAGGAAGGGGGCATTTCCTGTGCCAAGACTGTTTTCCCCCCTGCTTCCTGTGCCTTGGCCAGAATCCCGCTCCCTGCCTGCTGGAGCCGACCCACTCTGCAGGCAGAGGCCCCAGGCTGCCTGATTGCAGATTCCCCCTGCTCTGCTCTGTCTCACTCCGCTCCGCTGGCACTGTTTGGTCCCAGGAACCTCATCCCAGAGTTCCCACTACCCACACCTGCAGAGCTCTGGACAGGGCCAGCCTCCTTAACCTCAACACCCTGGAAGCCTGCCCCCCAGGGAGGGAGGGAGAAGGTTTACAAAATACCGTAGTGGGCCCTGGGGCCAACCCTTCCAGGTACCCAGGCAGGAGGCTGCAGGCTAGCTTCCCTCAAACCTCTCACCACGGTGGGACTCTACTGAGCTAGATGGACTGATTTGTCAATTTATTGATTATGAGAATGGGAGGCAATATAGTAGAGAAATTATAAACACGGGCTGAAATCCCAGCCCTTCTTAGCTGTGGGAGCTTGGACAAGCTGCTTAGCAGCTCTAGGCCCTGGCAACACAGCAGTGACTGACAGTGTCTTGCTTTCATTGCATTTGTTTTCCGGGAAGGAAGCTGAAAAGAACATTAAACACCCAACTAAGCTAGGTAATTTCAGGTAGCAAGAGTGTTAGAAAGAAAATAAGACAGAGTAATGGGAAGATGATGGGGCAGGAAGGATACTCAGAAAAGGCAGCTGGGGGAGCTCTCTGAGGTGACACTGTGACCTGCCTGAGAAGGAGGCAGCCATAAGAAGACCCAGGAGAAGAGCATTCCAGGCAGAGGGCACAACAAGTGCAAAGGTCCTGAGGCGGGAAGGGATTGGGTATGCCTGAAGCTGGAAAGGAGGCCAGCGTGGCTGAATTCCAAGGCCAAGATGAGGCAGGACGCAGCAAGGTCTGGGTCTTGCTGGCTGTGGTGAGGACTTTGGATTGTATTATAAGTACACTGGGAAGCTGTTGGAGAGTTTGAAGCCAGGGAGTGACAGGATCTAATTTATATTTTAGTAAGGGGTCTGTGGCTGCTGAGGACTTTTGGCTGGGGTGGGGGTAGGGAGGACCATCCTGGAGTGGTTCCTCAGAGCTCTGAGTTCTAATAAGGCTTGACTACACTGATGAGAGATCTTGATAAAGGGATTGCTCCTTTATCACTGGGCCTCAGTTTCCCAATCTGCATAGCCTTAGGTCAAACACAGCCTCAGAGGTCCCTCCATTTCTCGAGGTTTTCTGTAGATTAGCAAAGGAAAACATTTCAGAGTTACAAAAATTACTGTATAATGTATATGTTTACATTCAACAAATTAATGCTTTTAGCACTGAAAGTGGCATTGCAGTGTAATTGTACTATGCACAGGATGATTATAAGATTTATAAAAACAATTAGCTCCTAGCATTTCCAGCAGTGAGGTCTGATAACCAGGCATAAGTTTGAAGCTGTGTGACCAACATATTCTTCTTTCGATCTTATCAGTGTAACTCTGCTCCTGAAGGTCCCCAGTCTGCCTCTGTTAGGCCCCATTTTGACCTGTCTGATTTCTGGTTTTGCCAGGGTTGGGTGGGGTGAGGGACAAAGTGTGGAACCAGGGGAAGGCCCAGCCTTCCTTAGCCTACTGGGGACCCTTGGCCAGCCCTGGATGGGGATCCCCCTCCTGTGCCCAGGAATGGACCTCCCCCTACCATGAAGGATATGGAAGGAGGCAGTAGGGGAGGGGGAACCTGCGTGATACCCCCCAACCAGGGCTAGCCTGCAGCCTGCCTTCAGCTGGGGAGTTGAGCTTATACTCTATGAAAACAGGTTTGGACTTAATTGTTTTACAGATGGAAAAGCCACATTTCAGTATTGATCTTGGCTTCTGTAGCACTTGGAGGATAGCGAGTGATTGCTCTAATGGAGGGTGCTGGGGTCAGGGGTGCTAGCTGCCTGGAGACCAGGGCTGGCACTTTCTCTGTCCTCAGCACCCTCCCTGACATCTGTCTGCTCTGGAGGGGCCTTTCAGGGACCAGGGTTCTAGTCTAGGCTCTGCGTCTGAGTGTCTGTGTGAGTTCCCTCCTCTGGGCCTTGATTTCCCCATCTGGGAATTGGGGACAGGTGGAGGTGGTGGTGATAAGTCAGGGTGTGGATAACAGTACAGCATGGGGTTTTAAAGCTCACCCCTGGATTCTGACTGCCTGGTACAAAGGGTGGCTCCCCTGCTCACCACAGGTACTTAACCTCTCTGAACCTCTGTTTCCTCCTCTGTAAAGCCGGAACAGTGAGAGCACCTCCCTTGAAAGGTTGTTATGAGGACTTGAAATGCATATAACGTCCTCTGCATAGTGCCTGGCATATAGTGAATAGTCTACATTTGCTACCGGGTCCTTTTTTACTGTTTTGTTTTTTAAATTAAGGTATTAACTACCAAATTGTGAGAGAAGCACCAAAAAAGGAATTGAGAAACACATCTAATGGGGACAGTGATATCCACAGCCCCAGGGGGTTGGGAGGACTTCATGGGGTCCTGGGTGCGATCATTCCCAGCAGCCTCGGAGTCAGAGACCAGGCCTCTCTTCCAAGGCCTCCCAAGGTGGGCAGGGAGATTCCAGGGATGTGGATAAAAGTCCTGGGAAGCAGGTCTGAGAGTTCTGGGTAAGCCCCAAGACTGCCACATACCCTGCAGATTCTTTGGGGTTCTCTGTGTCTCTATAAGGAAGGTGGCTTCTGCAAATTAATACAGCTCTTCTACAGAGAATAGCCACTCCCTTAGAAAGCTTCATTCATTCAATCATTTGATGTTACATTCAGTTTTGTGGGGCTTTTATTGAGCACCTACTATGTGCCAAACATTTGGGTAGGTGAGTCTAACAAAGATCAAGTCCTTACCCTCAAGGACAAAGATGTCCATGAGACAGAGTGAGATATGCTGCTCAGAGGCCCTGAGAGCACACAGGAGGCGCCCCTACTGGCCTCGCAGTCAGTCACCCACCAGGAGACGGTGACGTCTGAGGATGGGTAGGCATGAATGATAGCCAGTGAAGGAGGGGGGAGGTTGAGAGGGTTGAGAGGGAGCGTTACACACTGAAAGAAGTGTGTGTGTGAACGCCCCAGTGTGAGAGGGCTGAACAGGGTTTGAATGGAGAAAGGAAATTCCGCAGTTCTACCCGGCTGGAGGAGCAGGGCTGCAGCAGGGACAGCAGGCGCCTGACCTGGCAGGACGGGGGGTGGTCCAGCTCCATGGAGCTTGGGTTTTATATAGGAAGGTGCTCAGGGACACCCCCTCATTTGAAAGCCCTGGAAACTGAGGCCCAGAGAGAGGAAGAAGCTTCTGGGTCACAGCAACCCTAGCCCTACCCTCTTCTACTGCATCCCACTGCCTTCCTGATGAGCCCAGGGGCCCTGTCAGGAAGGAGAGCTTTCCAGGGCCCAGCGGCTACCCTGGGAGGTGGGATTGCAAGAGGCTGTGAGGAGCAATGGAGGGGGCGGGGATTCCTCCCTGTGCTAGGGCTCACCTGGGCATCTGTGTTTCAGACCATCAGAAGCTGGAGCGTGAAGCCCGCATCTGCCGCCTGCTGAAGCACCCCAACATTGGTGAGCTGTGGGGGATGACTGTGGGGTGTGGGTGAGGCCTGGCTCTGCTCCCTGCCCATCCTGGTGGGTGTTTGGGGGTGAGGGGAACTGCTCTCTTTTCTGCGGATGGCAGCAACAGAGATGGGAAAGGGGGTGTCTTTCATGGTTTCCACATTCCTTAGAGACCAGCTTGGTTGTGGGGAAGGTGAAGAAGGGGCCCTTCCTCCCAGCCCACGCTGCCGGCAACCTCCTCCAGAAAAGCTGTTTTCAGGAAAACTCCCAAAGATCTGAGAGAGACAAAAATAGGCCAAGCTTGGCCTTGACCAGCACAGCCCACTCCCCAAACCCACCCCGCGCTGAGTCAGCCTGTTGCCAGGGCCCCGCCCACCTGCCTGGACCAGTGGCCTGCCCGTTGCTCTGAGGCAGGCTCCAAGGCAGCCCCTTGTCTGGGAGAGACAGAGTGCAAGATGGGCCTAGGGCATCAGCATGGTGATGAAACAAGGGGTCACTGCCTGACCTCCCTCCCTGTCCCCTGCACAGCTAGGAGGCTGCCGCTATCAGGGGTCGAAGTCATGGCAGGGAGAAAGTGCAGGTTCTGGATATAGTCTGTCAGTGAATGGCTGTGTGACCTTGGGTAGAGGCACTACCCTCTCTGAGTCACTTTCCCTTCACAGGAGTGAGGAGCAGGCTGGGCATCTTGTTAAATGGTAGATTCTGGTTCAGTGGACCTGGGTGGGGACAGAGATTTCGCGTTTCTAACAGGCCCCAAAGCGGTGCCAAGGCCGCTGTTTTGCCGAGCCCACTTTGGGGAGCAAGGTCCAGGTGTTCCCTAAGGAGTATCCAGACTGCCACAGCCACCACACCCCCTCCCTGGAGAGGGAAGCATCTCTGGGTACACAGGGCCCCAAGGGTTAACTCTCCTGCTGGAGAGAAGTACCTCCATCTGCTATTTATACCCAGCAGGCCACCTCCCCTTCCCTCTGCCTGGGAAGGGAGCAGAGCTGACAAGCAGCAGCCAGAGGCTCCAGGGCCAGAAGCAGAGAGGGAGCAGCAGGGCAGGCGGCAGGGAGCAACCCTGGCTGGCACTGTGCCCGACATGCTGACGGCCTCACTGTGTGGCCATGGGCAGCTCCAGCTCCCTCCGGGCCTCCAACTCCCCAGTAGGCTGGAGGGGGTTGTGAGTGATCTGTAACTATAAAATCCCATGATTCTTATAAAGGCTGTCAGCTCCGGAGGAAGGAGGCAGGGAGTGTGTGTGTGTGTGTGTGTGTGTGTGTGTGTGTGTGTGTGTGTGTGTGTGCTCGCGCACAATTGCAGCTGTCTCAGGTCAGCGCTGCCTCCTTCCATTTGTGCTGCCCTCTCCCTCTCTTTTCTGGCTATAACGGGGAGCAGTAAGTTACGGGCTCTAGGGCTAACAGACTGCAGCTCAAATCCTGGGTTTGCAGCTCTAATTGCTGTGTGACCCTAGACATGTTGTGTAACCACTCTGAAGCTCAATTTCCTCAATCAGAAAAGGGAAATAATGGCTACCTCATAAGATTGCATGATTAAATAAAGCATAGCACAATGACAGTCCCAAGGTAAGCGCTTTATTGTCATTAAGCTGCCCCACCTTTTCCTCAATCTCCGCCTTTCCACAGAACAAGCTTACCTGAAGACTTATCTCTTGCCCAAAACTCCATATGATTCTCATTCCTCTGAGGCTTCAAGATTTTTGGTCATCAATTTTGTGTACCTGGTGGTTTACATATAGTACATACTGAAGTTTACAGTCAGTCATATCTGGGTTCAAATCCCAGCTCTGCTGTTCACTAGGTGTTTGAACTTGGGCAGTCTATGGACTTTCTAGGCCTCAGTGTCCTCTGCTGTAAAATGAGAATAATCATAGTACCCACCTCCTAGAACTGTTGGGAGGGTTAAGTGAGCTATTGCAAGAAGAGCACTTAGCACAAGTCTGGCGCAAAGTAACATTTCAGAATTGGCAGCTTTCATGTCCACCATCATCATCATCATTAGATTATTTACTCCGTCATTCATTCATTCATTCATTCATTCATTCATTCATTCATTCATTCATGTGTTGTCCACGGCATATAAGGCCCCAGCATATGCCAAGGCCTCTGCTAGGCACTGAGGGTGTGTGGAAGAAACAAAAGTGGGGGATGCAGGGGGACTGGCTGATGCTCAGGGAAGTGGAGAGCAGAGCTGAGATTCAGGAAGAGTCTGAGGAGCTTGAAGCTAATGTTGGGACTGGAAATGTCTTGGGGACACTTCCCGAGCCTCCAAGCATCTCATTTCAAAGTAGATTGCAATCTGCCCAAAGAAGGGCAAAGAGGTGCAAATGCAGATGAAGAACTGAGAGGTGAGTCTGTGCCTGGAGAAACTAGATTGAGTCCTATTCAGGCTGTTTGGTAAATTTAGCCAAGGAAACTGGCTGCAGCCCATGTGTGGCCAATGTCCAGCCCCATGGGGACCAGGTCAGGGAGTTCCCTGGCTCAGCACAGGTGTGCCAACTGTGCTTTGCACAAAGAATTTACCACCCGGATCCTGCTTGGGGGCAGACAGTAACCCACTTTCTGTACCATTACCACCTGCTGATGGGGCAGACCCCCGAAGTCCACTCCAGGGAGCAAGGGGCAACCTGAGAGGTTAGCAGGTGATTTGGGGTAGGCAAGGGAAGTGAGGCTGGTCAGTGATGATGATGACTTCCTCAGTTGTTAAGTTCTTCCTAGTGCCAGGCACTGTGTTGAGTGCTTCAATCCCCTGCATCAGTCCAGTGGTATTGGCACTACTGCTAGGAAAGGAAGTTCAGAGAGGTTATATAATTTGCCCAAAGTTACACAACTTGGAAGAGGTGGAGCTGGGAGATGAGCCCAGCAAGTCTAACTCCCTCCAGAGCCTGTGCTCCCAGTCGTTCTATTTAGCTTCCCAAGTGGACATCATGAGTGTGTTGTCAGGGGGCAGTGGATAGGGTAACAAGTACTACCCTTAAATTCCAAGATGCCAATGATAACTGTTGGCAATATGACAGGAATGCCAGAAATTCATAAGTTTAGCTACATATATGGAAACTAGATTATAGGTTTGTTTGTTCTACGATAACATTTTAAAGTAAAAAAAATGATAGCGTAACTCAATGGGCACAGACCTGTCAATCTTCCCACAGGAGGTGAGACCTTCCCATAGCCCATGGCCCTGGAATCCTGCCTTCCCTCCTTGGCACTGGTCTGAGTTTTTCCTCTGGGAAGCCTTCACTGATGGGAGGGAAGGTTTTTGTGTGTGAAAACAGTGTTGAAAGGAGACCTGTGTCCCAGCTCGGGGCTGTGGTGCAGCCACCTCTCAGGGACTGAAGCATCTCCAGTCCCCTCACGCAGGTGGGGGCTGCAGGCCAGCCTGTGTTCCTCTTAGCCTGTCAGCTCAGAGGGGCAGCCTTTTATGATCAGCACAGAGGCACCATCTGAGCTATAATCAGCTCTGGAGACCTGCCCCCCAATTCCATCCACCTCTCTGAGCCTTGAGGGCCTTCTCTAAAGGGATGGAGGCTCCTGGTCTTCTTGGAGCTCCTCCCAAATGGCTGTTGACCTGATTCTAAAAGCCCTTGCTGAGATGATTTTGGCCATAGTTTAACTTCTCAGAGTTACTCACACTCAGGGAACAGAAGTTTAAAATTCACATGCTTACCTGGAGCAGAGTACATGAAGGAGTCCACTCCCTAAGAGTCAGCTTGGAGAAAAGGATCTTTTTCAAAACCTTATCTTGATACACTAATAATCCAAGTTTATTATAGGTAAATGAGAAGACAATTTTAAAACTGTCTTCTATAACTTCAGCATCTAGTGCTAACATTGATTACCTATGATGTATGATGCCTGCACCTTCTCAAGTATGCCTATGCATATTATCTCAGGTCAGGTTCCTTAGAAGCAGAGCCTGAGGCAGGGATTTGGGTGTTCATGTGTTATTGAGGGTATGCTCCCAGGGGAGACCACTAAGGGATGGGGTGAAACAGGGTGGAGAAAGGGAGGGAACTCAGGAGGGATGGGGCCTCAGGTCAAGTCAAACTTTGACCTGATCCCAGGTTGGGGAGTGCAGTGGGAAGGCCTCTGAAACATAAACCCTGTCTTAGAGTTGCCTCTCCTTATGGTAAGGAGACTGGCCTTTTGCACTAACCCTGACTCCCCACATCAGTCAGTTATTGGCTGAAAGCTGCAGGTAGCCTCATGGGCAAGGTGGTCCAATCAGCAATGGGCAACTCTCCAGGGAAGAAGCAGCTGTGAGCTGTTAGCAGCCAGCCCTCCCGGTAGCTGGTAGCTACGAGATGGTGCACCATCTTACTGGGACCTGGGCAGGGCACCACTGTGGGGTTGCTGGATTCTGCACACAGAAAATGCAGGATGCTCAGTTCAGGACTCACAGACATTTAAAAAATCAAGTCTATCTTTGCTTTGAAATGCATTAACAATTTCAAATAAATTAATGGATAGAAATGTAGTAAAGCAGGTATAAGAAAAGACTAATGATAGAATCCAGGTGGTGAACACATGGGTGTTCACTTGACTGTATGTTTGAAATTTTTAATAATATTATGTTGATTTTAAAAAAGTAAAGGCAGCAGTGTATTACAGGTACTGGGCAACCTGCTTTTTCGTTTTGCTTTAAACTCTATTTCAGACATTTTCCAGTCATTATTCATAAATCTGTATCATCATTTAAGAACTAAAAATGTTTTTAAATTAAATTTGGGTCCCCTCATCCACTATCCTATGGGCCCCATCTTCCCTCCCTTCTAGCAGGCACCTACTCTGGGCTATTTGATGCCTGCTTCTCCAGGCTTTCTGTGAGATAGGAGAGCCATAAGCAATTTGTGGGATTCAATATTGAGTCAAAAATACATGCGCATGGAAGAATTCAGCTGGCACTAGGGTTTAGAGTGAAAGTGAGCCTCACAGACCCATGACCCCTACTCTCCCAGTTCCCTTAACCAAGGCACCCCCAAAGCCCACTGCTCCATATCCTTTCAGAGAGACTTACGCCTTACACAAGCTTAAATATGATATGTCCTTTTAAAAAGCACACATACTCTTTTGTACTTTGCTTTTTTATCAAATGCAATTTAGAGATGATTCTGAACCAGTGGAGACATAACTGCTGCATTATTTGAACAGCTGCGTGATTTTCCACTGTGCAATGTGTCATTATTCTCTGAGCCTGCACCCTGCGCTGTGGACGTTTTTAGGTTATGGCTCATGGAAGGATGTGGCCCTGTCCTGAGAGAACCTGGCCTTGGCTGGCAGGGTGTATGCCCCTGGAGTCAGCCCCATGCCTCAGGCCCTTCCTTTCAGAATCTCAGGGGGTAATTTTGAGAACTCCAGGCTCCTGGGAGCCTTGCCTCTGTTCTTGGTAAATGAGGCATGAAGAGATGACTATTTGTCCCCATCTGAGAACCCAGGGACCAACTGCTGTTACTTCTGTCTCCAACCGCTCTGTTATCTCCTCAGACCTGGAAGCAGAGTGGGGATATTCACTCAGGGCCAGCTTAGAGTGAGCACCAACTGAGGGACTCATGGAATTCTTACAATACACCTGCAAGGCCAGGAGTTTCATGCTCATTGGACAGGCAAGAAAAGAGAGGCTCAGAGAGGTGTAGCAACTTGCCTGAAGTCACACAGCTAGCAAGTGGCAGAGATCTGAATCACAGGCTCATGCCATGACACTGGCCTGCCCAGCAAGGCAACCGAAGGTCGATGGGGAGGAGACCGAACTTTGACCAAAGCAGAGGTCTTTGGTCTTCAAGCCTAGGCCTCTTTTAGTGATGCCCAAGGTCGGTGAGCCCTTGTTCACCTGTGTGTCAAAGCACCTGTCTTGTTCGTGCTGTGACTGAGACATTGGAAGGGTGGTTATATGAGGGGGGAAAGGGAGGCTGGGGATAGGGAGCAGTGTGTCAGGGCTTAACTGCTGCCTCGGCCCCTCCACAGTCCGCCTCCATGACAGCATCTCTGAGGAGGGACACCATTACCTGATCTTCGACCTGTGAGTTGGGGCCATCCTGGGAAATACAGTGGGTGTCAGGGCAGCCTGAGCACCTACCTTCCTGGGTGCCTTGGCCTGATTCCCAGGTTCCTGGCTGGGCTGAATTCCCTCTTCTGATACAAATGTTTCCCGATGTGGTAGGCGTGCTGCCCAAACCGTGAAGGTCAGTTTCCCTCACACACCAACACACACTCTTCACTTTCATTGACAGGTCTTTACTTTTGTTTCCATTTGTAGCCAGGGATGCTGGTTTCCCCTTTCTAGTGGCAATATAAAGTTTCCTTGTGGAATTAATTTAAAGTTTTAAAGCCAGTCAGTTGAACCAAAACAAGCAACAAAATGATGGGCCTTGGTGGTTCTGGCCTGACAGAGGGACTTGTGAGGACTCTGATCTCATCTGTAAAAAACAGTAGACAGTGGCAGAGGCTATGCCTGTGGGGAAGTGTGGGTATATGGGAACCTGTACCTTCTGCTCAATTTTACTGTGAATCTAAAGCTATGCTAAAAAATAAAGTCTATCTAAAAACAAAAATACCCTAAACTATTAGGCTTCCAGGAGCCTAATGACCCTGAGTGATATGTTCTGGGTGTCCCACTCCCAGTCCCAGCTCCAGCCTGGGCCCAGTGAGGGGGTGGGGCAGTGGATGGAGGGGAGGGAAGTCAGCAGAAGGGTGAGCTGCAAGCCAGAAAGGGGGATGCCATAAGGGGGATGCCTGTGGCCCCTGGGCCCCTCCCTTTGCACTGATTTTCCGAAGTCTCCAGGCCCCTGACCTTAGCTTTCTGAAGCCTCCTCCCAAAGAGGCGGCATCCGGGCCTCTGCAGGAGCGTGACTCCATGTCTGTCTCCCCAGGGTCACAGGCGGGGAGCTGTTTGAGGACATTGTGGCCAGGGAGTATTACAGTGAGGCTGATGCCAGGTGAGTGCCAGGTGCAGCCTGGCAATGGCTTTGCGGGCAGGGCGTCTCACCTGCTGGCTGGCTTCCCAGAGGAGGCCACCCTCTCACCATGACCCCTCCCCTCTCTGCCCAGTCACTGTATCCAGCAGATCCTGGAGGCTGTGCTGCATTGCCACCAGATGGGGGTGGTACACCGGGACCTGAAGGTGAGCAACCTGCCCAATGGTGTGGTTCACCCGATGCCTGCGCCTCTGCCCTCTGCCCTCTGCCCTTTCCTCCACCTGCAGAGCAGGGATATTGTCAGAATCCCTGTAATTCCCTGAATTGGGCTTGGAGGGCAGTACTTCCCCCACTGCTCAGATGAGGAGACTGCTCAGGAAGGTGGAGCCTCCAAGCATAGGGCCCAGGGCTCCTGACTCCCAGCTTCACGTTACAGGGCCAGGCCAGGCAAGATGCAGTTAGACTTCCAAGGCTGGCCACGGCAGACTTCAGATCCCAGCCGGGCCACTTTCTAGCTGCATGGACTCAGCTTCTTTACTGGGGGGTTGTCATAGCAACCTCTGCACAGGGTTGGTAGGGATGTCAAAGGAGACAGCAGAGTGCCTGGGACACAGACTCATTGCTTCTCTTGTTTTCTGGTCTCTGGAAGATGAGGGAGAAGGAAACAGGCTTTGAGGCCCTCAGAGTCCTCCCCCTTCCCACCTGAAGAAGGAGAGGGGACAGGAGTACACAGTTGCTGAGTCTAAGGTTGGCACCAGCCACACACCCTTCCTGGTCAGCACAGTCTTCACGGCTCTCGTCTGCCGGGTCTGTAGCTCGTAACATCACCGCCGATTTACAGAGCAAGAAACTAAGGCCTAAATAGAGTTCAAGGGACTTGCCCAGGGGCATGCAGTTCAGCTCTGCTTGAGCTAGGCCTGGAACCCTGGCCTCCTGACCCCAAGATATCATGTCCTCCATGATCTGGGACCAAAGGGCCACACCACCCAGCCCCTGCTTCTGCAGTAGCCCCTTCTAGGTAAGCCTGCTGGGTGTCTATTGAGCCTCTGCTTTTTGCCTTCAGTGACTATAAACTCTTTGCATACGGGCTAGCCCTTTGCCCCACTGGGGAATGCCCCTTCCATCTTACTTGCTGTGGGAGTATCACCTGTGAATGCCAGTTCTACCCTTTGGAGCCACAGAGACCAAGCCCCCAGCTCAGGGCAGTCCCAGGGGCACTTGGGCAGCTTTGTCTTCTGCAGGCTACTCTTCACTGTGCCCACCCAGGACAACATCTCCAGGCCCTCCTCCTCTTGGGCACCCTCCCTGAGCATCCTCCAGTTTGGTTCAGGTCCCTCTTTGGGGTGCAGTGTTCTGGCCAGAACCCTTGCCCACCTCTGACTGTCACAAGCAGTCCATGGCCTCTCACCTGAGCCCAGGTGAGTTCCCTGTGACTCAGTCTAGACCCACAGGCAACTGTGCATTCAAAGAGGTCCTGGCCAGACTGCAGGGCAGCTCTCCCAGAGGGCCTGTCCCCTTTATGGCTAGAGCCCCTGTGTGGGAGGAGGGAGGAGGAGAGGCAGCATAAATTTAGGCCATTCTGGATAGATTAATTAGTAGCATATTCTTCAAACCAGGGCAGGACCGCCACTGAGACCCAGGACTTTGGGAACACAGTCCCCAGAGGACAAAAGAGACCTTAACGAGGGGCAGATGAGCTATATTTGTTTGAGTCCTGCCTAGCTTCGGGCAGTGAAAGGTCAGATGTGGGACCCTTGGAAATCCCAGCAGGGAAGGGGGTTAGAAAAAAACAGCTGTCTCCAGGGACTTTGAGCCCAGCCGCTTCTGAAGCAGAAAATTTAAGTGCTAATGCTTACCAAGCACTTGTGGTGGCTGTGGGAAGTGCTTTACATGGATTATCATAATTAGTCTGTATGCCACCCCATGAGATAAGCATGATCCCCATTTTCCTGGGAGAAAACTAAAGCTCAGAGAAGTGAAATAATTTTCTGAAGTTCCACAGCACAGATGTGGCAGTGCTGGGACCAGAAGCCAGGGCTATATAACTGGAGAGTCCATGCTCTTAACTCCCCCCTGCTCTGAGGAGGGGAATTGCCTGTCCTCCAGACGGGGCAGAAGACTGCAGCCTCAAAGCCCCAGAGGCCAGATGGCTTGTGCGAGGCCCACACCCTCCCTCAGCCTGCAGTGGTGAGGAGCACGGCTCTGAGCCAGGCTTTGCCAATTCCGGCTCTGTCGCCTCCTGTCCATGTGATCATGGTCAAGTTACTTAACCTCTCTGAGCCTCAGTTTCCATGTCTTCATACATGTGACAAATACTTAATAAGTGCCTGCAATATGCTGTCCATGGTTGTGGGTGCTGCTGGTGGTACAGTGGTGGACAGGACAGATAAGAAACTCACAATCTACAGGAGTGACAGATAATGAACAAACACACAGACAGATGCAGAACAACTTTACAAATCGTGATGAGCTCTATGAGGTAACAAGGGGTAACAAGGGGCCAAGACAGCATACCTGGGGGCTTGTCCTTCAGGTGGAGTAGTCATGGAGGGCTTCTTTGAGGGAGTGACATGAAGGTGAGAGAGACCAGGCCTGTGAAGCTCAAAGGGAGAGCAAATTCAGCAGGGGGAGCAGGAAGTGCAAAGGTCTTGAAGTGGGAACAAGCATGCAGAAGGGAATGAAAAAAGGCCACTGTGGAAAGCAGGGATAATAATGCCTACCTCCAAAGGGCCACTGAGAGGACAGACGAGATGGTGCATGCATTTAGCACCTACACAATGATGGTGTCTCTTCCTTACTGTAGTGGCTGTCCCCCACCCCTGCCTCACCCCAGCTCCTGCCCACACCCTGAGGAGGGTGGAAGGAGGGACAGCTCTCAGTAGGGTAGTTGCCTTTCTGGGGCTAAAACTCAGGGCCTGCAGCTGGAGCTGGAGGTGGGGACAGGGCCCCTCTGGATTGCCCAGCTGCTCCTCCTGGAGGCCCAGGCTCCCCGAGGTGAGGTTCTGAATCTGCTCACTGTTCTCTGGCCTTTTCCCCACCCCCTGCCCTCTTCCTCTTCTCTCTGGGCCTGGGAAGCCGGAGAATCTGCTGCTGGCCTCCAAGCTCAAGGGTGCAGCAGTGAAGCTGGCAGACTTCGGCCTGGCCATAGAGGTGGAGGGGGAGCAGCAGGCATGGTTTGGTGAGTGGGGCTGGCGGGTGGCAGGGATGTTGGGGGTCAGACTTGTATTGACACATCATCCTCTAGGAACCCTTTGCTCCAGTAAGGGCGAGTTGGAGATGACTGTTGCACCAGCTAGGGCTCAGGTAGCAGAGGCCCCCACCCAGCCTCAGGTCTGTGGGTGCTGCCCATCCTATCACCTTCGGAGCCAGATGCAGGAACATGGTCATCGTTAAGACCCTCCTGGCTCCTTCCCATGTGCACACGCTGTCACTGTAGGCAGGGGACTGCCATGGATCTTTCCTTAGCTGCCTGAATGTTAAAGATTATCATCCTGGTTTTACAGATGAAGAACAGAGAAGCTAAGAAACTTGGAAAAGGTCAAGGGAGATTGAAAAGGGTAGAGTCAGGGTTTCAACTCAAATGATCTAGCATGCTCCGAGATCCTGGCATAACTGGAACCTTCCATCTATCTGGGGATACTTTGTAGTGAGTGGTAGTGTTCAGTGGTTAAGAGCTAGAGTTCTGGGTTCAGGTCCCAATTCTGTTTCTTATGAGGTGAGTGACTTCGGGCCAGTCATTTCGCCTCTCTGAGCCTTCGTCTCCTCATGTGTAAAATGGGGATAATCATAGTATGTTCCTCCAGGCTGTGTTAGGATTAAATGAGATCAGGTGTGCTCAGCCCCAGGCCTAGCACACACTCAGTAAATTATAACTGTTCTTGTGGTTACTTGTTGAAGAACTTTGGGTGCCTGTTTATTTCAGTTGAGCCTGCCAACAATGCTGGGAGGTAGGTAAGCTAGGAATCTCTCACTCCTCATTTGACAGATGAGAAAACTGAGGCCTGGAAAGAAAAGAGACCCACCCAAGGGACTTACAGCAAAGCCAGAGTTAGGGACAGGCCTCCTGCCACCCCAGGATCAGCTCCGAGAAGCCAGGGGAGTGGGCGAGGGGTCAGCTCGGCTTGGGCTGCTGTGGCAGGGACATTCTGTCTTGATAGGTAATGGCTGCAGGAGGGCTGTGTTAGAAGTTTATGGCTCTGAGTCAGAACCCCACAGGGAGGACTCAGGCTGTTCGGTGACTTCAGACATAGGCTCTGGAACGAGGGTGGTGACAGATGCAGTGTGTGTTTCTCCACCCTAGTCTGGAGGCTTTGCTGGCTTCCCAGGCCAGGGCTTCCTGCCCTCGGCCTGCTCTGGGGGGCAGGGGATGTTTTCCCCATCTCCAGGGCAACCCTTATCCCTCTTCCAGCAGGATCTTGCTCCGGGTTACTTATGTGCCCACCTCTGTGTGTGTGTCTGCCTGTCTGTGTGTCTGGGGAGCAGGGTTCGCAGGGACACCTGGATACCTCTCCCCAGAAGTGCTGCGGAAGGACCCATATGGGAAGCCTGTGGACCTGTGGGCCTGTGGTAAGCCCATCCAAGAGCCCCTTCCCCCTGGCTGCCAGCTCCTCTGGTGCCCTCTCTCCTTCCCAGTCCCTCCCCTGCTTCATGGCTCCTGCTCACAGGGGACTGGAGCCTCTTTGGTTCTCTCCCCAGGGGTTATCCTGTACATCCTGCTGGTTGGGTATCCCCCATTCTGGGATGAGGACCAGCACCGGCTATACCAGCAGATCAAAGCTGGTGCCTATGATGTGAGTGTCGCTCCTCTCTCGGGGTCCCTGTCATCCCCTGGGCCCCTCCAGAGAAAGCCAATACGCAGGAGGTCAGGGACCTGAGGGTGCCTCCCTTCCACCCTGCCTGCCCATTTAGGCCCCCTGCCATTCTGTAGTCCCAGGATGGGTAGAGCTTACTGACTGACAGCTGGGCGATGAGCTGGCCATGCCTGATGATGGGGGCCTCTAAGGGAGGTTTAGTCCCAGGAAGCTCAAGAGACAGAAGCAGCACCAAAGCAAGATGAAAGGTGGGGGCAGGCTGCAGGAGCCACGTGTGCCTGCTCTCTCTCTAGAAATATACAAATGACAATGATATCTAACACTGAGCACTCTCCTAAATGCTTTCCATTTATTATCACAGTTAATCCTTATACCAATCTACGACTTAGGTACTATTATTATGCCCATTTTACAGACAGGGAAGCTGAGGCACCAAGAGATTAAATAACTGTCCAGATCAGGTACCTAAGAAATGGTAGAGCTGAGATTTTAACTCAGTTAGTGCAGCTCTGGTGCCCATGGCGCTTATACCAAGCTATACCGGTTTTCTGCATGGCTATTATCTGTCAAGCTATGTGCCATGTGTTTTATATTACACTTAATCTTCACAACATCTCTAGGGGCAGCTTAAGGGGTCATGTGACTTGCCCAAGTTCACACAGCCCAGGTGGCAGAGCCAGGCCTTGAACCTAGCCTGCTGCTTCTAAAAAGTCTGGGCTCTAATCACTGGCCTGCTTCTCTCCAGATAAGGCATAGCCTCAGAACAGCAGAATGAAGGCCTCCTTTCCCTCTGGCCATTGTTGTGATTCATCCTGGGGCCAGGGGACTCTGCCCCAGCCCTGGTTCCAGAGGGGTCCCTGTGTTGGGGACCTCCAACTCCTCCTGGTTGTGGACACTGAGTGAATGGGCAATAGGACCCCTGCCTGCTCCCCTGCCAGTCAGGGGCTAGGGGATCGCAGGGGTGGCCTGGGGTAGGCTGGGCAAACCTGGCCCCTCTGCCCCTTCCAGTTCCCATCACCAGAATGGGACACTGTCACTCCAGAAGCCAAGGATCTGATCAATAAGATGCTGACCATCAACCCCTCCAAGCGCATCACGGCTGCTGAGGCCCTCAAGCACCCCTGGATCTCGGTGAGCCTACCTCAACAGGCCCTTCCCAGGAGCCCCTCTAGACCTCAGGATCCAGACCCCCACCAGATCCCGCCTCAGGCCTGGTACCAGCCTGAAGGGGCTCAGTCCAGGAGACTTGGCTCCTGCTGTGGTTCTCAGGGGGAAAGTGGCAATGGGAGGGGCTCTGAGTTGACATTAAGCCTGGGAGTGCCACTGGCATTGAATGATGCCAGGGATGGTGAGCTCCTCCAGTGTTCACAACATCCCTTGGAACAAAGAACTGTTCCCCCCAAGGTGCTAAGCACCCCTCCATAAGACGCCACGCCAGGGGCCCTGGGTGGGCCTGCCTTCCACTCACAGACCTCTTCTTACTTCCCCAGCACCGGTCCACCGTGGCCTCCTGCATGCACAGACAGGAGACCGTGGACTGCCTGAAGAAGTTCAATGCCAGGAGAAAACTGAAGGTAACATGTCCTCGCCCTCCAGAGCCCCAAACGCAGGAAGCTGAGAATCACTCACTAGTTTTTTCCTTCATTGCATCAACAAACAATTAGGAGCACCTACTGGGCTGGGGAGTGAGCAGGGAAAAGGCAGATGGGTCACCAGAACGTTAGGGGGCACGGGTGAGTGCTGTGTCTGGCATGCCCTGAGGCTGCGGGTACACAGCAGACCATGAACCAGGTCTGGAAGGACCAAGGAAGGATCCTGGGAAGGCTTTTTGGGTGAGTGACAGGCTGAGACCTGAAGGGTAAACAGGTATTAGCAATACAGTGTCAGAGTGGGCAGATGTTCCAGAGAGAGAGAACAGCACATGTAGAAGTCTGGAGCGTGAGCTGGTCCACGTAGGGGGACTGCAAGTGTTTCCGTGTGGCCAGGAGAGGTTTCAGGGGATGAGATGTGACTGGAAAGGAGGCTGTGGGTGAGAGGCCCCATCTGCCAGGTGCCAGAGAGGAATGGCTGAGAGAACTGGACAGGGGTCATGGCCCAGAGGAAGCCCAGTGGGACCCGGTGGGCCCTGAACTGGTGGACTCTCAGCCGGGTCTGTGTGCTCTCAGGGCTGTGGCAGCTCCTGGCCTGGACCTTGCCAGGGGCCCCATGAGCAGGGACCCCAACCAGTCATAACAGAGAAGCTACCAGCACACTGGGAGACAGATGCTGAGGCCCTGGCTCATTCAGAACCTCCCCAAGAGCTGCTCCCAGGCCTGACATGGTGGCTCAGGAAGTGGGCATGGGCCAAGGGGGTGGTGGCCAGCATGATGCCAGGAGAACTGAGTCCCACCCCAAGCCCCCAATGGAACCTGTCACCGAGGAAATCCCAAGATGTTGGAACCAGGGATTCTTAAAATCGGGGACTGTCAGAATCAGGGTGTCCAAATCAGTATCAGAACCACAGGGGTCGTTGTTTCTAGCAGCCTCATTGATGGAAGAATATTTCTGCGTATTAGCCCTCCAGGGTTCTGGCCCAGGAACCCCAGACAGAGGAGTCTGTGCTGGAATGAGGGGCTCAGTGCTCCGGCTGGCAGTAGAGAAGGGGAGGGGCGGCAGGGTGCTGGGTCCATCATCCTTGCCCAGGCAGGAATCTTCCTTGGCCTGTAGGAGCCTGCACTGAGAGGTGTTCCCAGGACCTTCCACCAGTGCATGCAGGCCAGTCGCAGGAGCTGTGCCAGCTCAGGCCTGGCTTACCCCAAGCCCCCTGAGGGTATAGGGGTGGTCTCTGGACTGTGGGGGCAGGGAGGAGGGTTCGGCTCTGTGTCTGAGTGCAGTGCCTGCCTCTCCTTCCTCTCTCCCTCCCATTTCTCTGCCTCTCCTTCCCCTGTCACCTCCGGGCCTCCTCTCCCCCATACCCTCTCCTCTGTTGCAGGGGGCCATCCTCACCACTATGCTGGCCACCAGGAACTTCTCTGGTAGGTGGTGGGACCTCAGAGTCCAAATATTTCCTGCACAGGTCTGCTGGGTGCACTGCCCTGTCAGATATTTGGGTGCCTTCAGACCAGGGGACCTGGGGAAAGTGGGGGCTGCAGGGGACCCTGAAACTGGGGGCTTCACCCCAGTGGAGAAGTGGAGAGAGGTGAGAGGTCAGCAAGCCAAGGGCCCACCAGGAAGGGCTGAGGTTTAGTCTGGCTCCCCTCCTCACAGCAGTGCCAGGGTCTCAGGTTGGGCTAGTGGAGAGGAAGCCTTCTCGAATGTTGGAGTGGGGACCCACGCAGGACAGAGCCAGGCCCAGGGAGCAGCTATATTCCTCTTTCTCACCTGCGCTTCATAGTCTCTGTGCTTTCACTCAGGTGGCCTTCATGACAAGTCCATGAGGGGCTGTTGCCATTCCTGTTTTCTGGTTGAGAAAACTGAACTCTAACTTGCCGGTCACACTGCTAGAGAGGGCAGACCAACCTCAGAGCAAGTGCCCTTAGCCAGGCCGAGCCAGGGTACAAGCCTTTGGCCTTGGTCTGTGCTGGGCTGATTAAGGTGGGGAGTGCTCACTGCACATGGCCCCAGAGAGAGAAAGGAAAGGAATTAGCATCAGGGCTTAGCAAGAAGCTCCCCTTGGCACACTGGAGAGGGCCAGGGCCAGTGCCTGCCAGAGGCTTCTCTCTGGGGAGCTTGGAGAGCTGACAGGGCAGCTAAGCAGATATAGCAAAGCTCACCTGATGGGCCCTCTGATGGGGTCTGAGGCCAGCCAGAGAGGGCTGTGGACACGTGGCTGACCCCAGGGCAAGGGGTCAGCTCTGGGAAGCGGCAGCTCCAGCTTTGCTGAGAGGGTCCACCTGCTCACTTAACCAGCTGGAAGAATGAGACCCGGAGATGGGAAGACCCTGGTTCTGCAGATTTGGGCTTTCCACACTGTGCTGAATGGCACTCCTCCTCTCTCCCCAGACACAGGTCCTGCAGTTCCTTAGACTGAAAGATGAGCCGCCCAGACAGTCAGAGTCTTTTTATATCAGCTGAAGCACCTCTAGAAACTCTAGTCCAGAGCTTAGACAATGGCGCTCATGGGTCAGTTCCCATCTCTCAATGTGCTTGAGGGGCAAGTCATGTTTTAAAAACATTTTTTTGAAAGAGTTTCCAGCACTTAAAGCCAGGAGGTTTCATCAAAAAACCTAGATTTCTGTCTTGAAAATCAGAATACATGGACTTGCGGACCCACAGTCCTGCAGTAGCGAGCTGGAGCACAGAGGACCCCCAGTAGATTTAGGGCAAGCATCCCCCTGGCTCCCCCACACACCCCCAGTCCAGCCCACGAAGCCCAGGGAGGACTGAGATCCGGAGGCACCACCCTTGCACTTACTTTGCAAGAGGGAAACTTTGGATGAGAAAGCCTGGGGTGGGTCACGGTAGCCATGCGAGGGTGACTGGGACGCTGGGTAGCCACGAGCCCTGTCTGTCTGAACCTTCGGGGCAGTGACTTCCTGAACTGCTGCCCCTCTTCCTGGCTCACCATCTCCAAGCTACCAGGAGGAGTTGTAGTGGGTAGTATTTACTGAGTACCCACTGCATACAGGTCAAGTGCTATGATAAGCACTTTATAGATATCCTCTCATTTAACTTAAGGCATTTGCTTGAGGTCTAAAGCAACTGGATGCCAAGCTGCACAGGGTTGGGCATTCATGCCATTTCCTGACTGATGGCTTCTTCAATGGCTCTGGCCAAGAGGTGAAGGGGGAAGGGGAATGACAGAGGCAGGGCCTCCTTGAGAGCTGCTGCTTTGCTTTTCCCAGCCACCAGGGACACAGCCAGCCCCAGAGTGGGGCCCTAGGATTTGAGGGTGGGGAGCTTCTGCAGGGCATGGGTGCTGTGGCAGTAATGAGCCCCAGAGGGAGGCATCTGCTTCTTGTCAACGGCAAAATGCAGCTCCCAGCTGTCCAGAGTGAGTAAGCAGGGCTGACACATGACCTCTGCAGCAGCATGGGGCTAAAATTAGAGGCAGGCTAGGGTGGGGAGGGAGCCTCACAGCCCCTGGGGCCGGGCAGCCAGGCCTCCATTGGCCACCAGCAGCTCGAGCAGTGACAGGGATCCAGAGGGAATCCCCAGGCTGAAACAGCAACCCCATGTTCCTGGGATGAGCTGGGCACCTCTCTTGACCCATGGGACCAGAGGGTCACGCTCCAGACTGCTGAGAACCCGGGAAACGCAGGCCCACCTAGAGGGCCACCAGCTGTCCGGGCTGCCTGGGAAGGAGGAGGAGTCCCCCCGACCACTAAGCAGGCTCTGTGCCCTGTGGCTGCCCACGGATGCTGCTCTTCCTCTCCCTGTGGGCCCTGGTGCCCTGCCTGGTGTTGGTAACTCTCTACCTTTTCTCCTCTGCAGGAGGAAAGAGTGGAGGAAACAAGAAGAATGATGGTGTGAAGGTAAGCCCCCCAGGAGCCTGGCAGGGCCTGCCTCTGGCAGGGTTTCTGTCAGCAGGGCCTGACTTTCAGGGCTGGGCCAAGCCCCACACCTCGCTCCTGGTGTTCCGGGCAGATGCGTTCACCAGAGCAGCTGGGCCATCACCAGACCAAGTGGCCTGGGCTTCGGTGCCCACCCTTTCACGGGGATCGGCGGGGGCAGGCTGGGAGGAGGGGCCGGTTGAAAGAGGGTGGGGGAGACAGGTGGCCTGGAGTTGGGGCTGCTCTGGAGGAGGCTTCTGTGGTTCTCCAGGACTGGAGGACTGGTGATGAGACAACGCAAAGCAGGGACAGAGATGATCGTGAGGGGTGACCTCCTCCTTCCAAGTGTGGGCTGGCTGGCTGGGACCTTGGCCCAGTGCGCACCTCAGTCCAGGCCACAAAGCTCATGGAGGATGGACAGCCATTCTTCCAGGCTTTGGGATCCAGAGGCACCCTCTCCCCAGTAGGGCCTGCCAGTTCAGTGCCAAGAATCCCATCTTGCCCCAGCCCAGGCCTGCCTTCTGTCCCCACCCCTAATGCCCGAGCTACTCCCCTCCACACCCGATGACCCCTCCTTCCTTCCTCTCTCTTCTCCCTCTGCTCTCTGGGGCCTGGCCCCCAACTCTCTGCAGCTCCCTCCTCCCCTGCCACCGGCTTGCCTTGTGGTCTCTCTTCTCTTGAGACCCTGCCTCTTTTCTGGGCTAAGAACCCTGCCTGGCAGGGTCCCAGGGCTGGGCTGTGCCCAAGACACTGGAAGGTGTGGGATGCTGTCAAACATAGCCACCCAGGTAGGCTGGTGGCTTCACGGCTTCATCTGGAGTGGCATTTACAGTCTCAGGCCTGAATGGAACGGGATCTGGGATGGCTGTCCAAGAACAGGATTTGGGTCACCCCTTGGCTCTTAGCCCACTGGGGGATGTTGCTCCTTAGGGACAATGTGGGTGTAGAAGGGCTGTGACTCCATGATCTCCAAACTTTAAAAACCGACAAGCAAATAAATGAATAAAAGGCAACAAAACCCCACCTAATCAGTCTCCCTTCTCATCTTGGGTGCTTAAGGAATACATCATTATTTGGTTATCAGCCAAAGTCATTGATTTTCAAACTGAGTTACTTGGAACCCAGAGGTTCTGGGGAGGCTGAGCAGAGAAAGTTCTGGGCTTCTCACACCCACTTCAGCCAGAACAGCTCCCTGTAACAGCCATCACAGCGGTTAGGAGAGCCTGCTTGGGTTTAGCAGCTGAGCCTGTGTTACCTTATTCAAGCAATGGGGGTCAAGGGGTTTCCACCCCCCAGGGCTGTCTGTGAGGCTGAACTGAGATCATGTGCACTGAGGGCTTGGCACAGTACTGGTGTGCGGTACGTGCTCGTGGCTTTTCTGTTTTATATATTGGACTTTGGGGTAAGATTTCTCTTGGGAAGAAAAAAAAAGCTTGGTCAAGAGAATATTTGGAAACCACAGATCCAAAGCCGACCCAATTTATGAAGTTAACTTATAAAGCACCTGTCCATATCCTATAATGGAATCTGGAACTGAACCTTGGCTTCCTTGCTGGTTTGCGATACACACGAGTCAACCCCCTTCCCCACAATTCGAAGGAGTCATAGGGGTATGTGCAATGTGGGTGGTCTGGTTTGGAGCAGCTAGGGCCTCTTTGGCCCTACTGCGTAGCCCCGGGGTGCTGGGGGAAATCACACTTGAGGAATACGGGGCAGAGGCCCAGGTGCTGGTGGGCCATGGCCCACATCAGTGAAGGGGGAGGGGCAGAGGAGGGCTGCCCTGGACTGCGTGGCTCGTGGGTACAGCCCTGGCAAAGGCTGACACAGAGCCAATGGGCATGAGGTCAGGCCCCGCTCAGGCTGATGCTCGGGAGGAAGTTCTAGGCTGGCTGTGCTCTGGGCAAGGCCAGCAGATGGAGGCTGTCTGGAGACAGGGGTATTGTGCAGAAAGGCGGGGGCTCTGGCTGACACTGAAGGGCTTTCCTGTGGGCGCAGCTGACAAAATGCCACCACTTCCTGCAGCACAGGACAGACCCTGAGTGACTTCTCAGGGTGGTCTGGGTGTGGGTGAAGAGAAGCTCAAAGTCTACTCCTGGCAGGACTGCTTCTCTGTAGCTCAACCTCCTTCCCTTTTCTGGGATTAGGAGGGCAAGTGTCCAGCTGGAAGATGAAAGTAATCCAGGGGGCCTTGCCTGGGATTTGGGGAGCCCAGGTTCCACTCATGTTTTCACCATGAATGAAACCCTTGGGTCAGAAGCTGCAGGTTGGAGTCTGAGCACACCGGCTCCTCTCCTGGGATCCTGGTCATCAGTTCTGTCATCTGTGCAGGGGGGGAATGGCAGCTGTTTAAGGGGGCTAGTGAGAGGCCCACCCCAGAGCAGGCCTGGCGGCATTGCCTCGTGTGCTCCTGTAACAGACGCAGCCTCAGTTGGAGCTGGGAAGTGGTACTCTTCCTCCAGCTTGATGGAGTTCATCTGGGGCCTCGCTGAAGAGGTAGTGATCGGCTCCTGTGCTGGAGGGCAACCCAGCTGGTCGGAGCCCAGAGATGTGACGTGATACTGTGCTTTAAGGGCTTTGGGGGCTTTTCAAGGCCAGTGTTGGCCATACTCCATTCCTACCATCCTTGCTAACCTTAGAACCATGGTTCTACAGGTGCTTCTAAGAGATATGACTTTGGATAAAAGCCCTGTAAATTAAACTCTAACATGCTGGTCAGTACGGGGTTGTCATCAGTACCATCATTATCTGTGCTTCCAGGAAATTGAGTCTTTCTCTCCCAGAGTAGTGATGCCCCCTCACACACACCCCTGGGCCTCTACTTCTGTGAGGAGGGGCCAACTGCCCCCACCCCTCAGCCCACTCACCGCCCCATGTTGGTGTCCCATCCGTGCCGTTGTGACCCTCCTCTCCCATGTCCTATCCTGTCACTGTATGTCCAAATCTGATGCAGTCTCTGCTCTGTGTTCCCTCCTCGTGTCCCACCTGGAGTCTCCTGGACCCCACGCCACTCCTCAGGTTGCTGTGGACAGCTGAGCTGTGTGGGCCTGTGCCTGGCCTGGCTCCAGCCATGAGTGAGGCTGACCCTAGGAGGAGGGGTGGGGGCTGTAGCCTGCCAGCTGAGGGAGTCACGCTGTCCGGCCCAGCTGGGGTGATGCAGGGGCCTGTAAGCATTTACTCTAGAAATGCCACGAACCATCCCCACCACACCTACACAGGCCTTGGATGGAGAGCACAGGGTCTTAGGCTCCTGGAACTCAGAGAGATTCCTGGATCTTTGTGTCAGAAAGCCCAGAATTAAGCCTAAGGAGCCTCAGAGAAAATCCACCATCTCCCCGTGGCAAAGGCCTACCCCGAAGGCCGCTCAAGGCCCTCTCTCTACTCCGACACACATAGTGCAGCAGGGAGAGCCACCTCCTGGCCTCTCACGTGTAAGCATGTCCAGGAAGGGGGAGCCTGGCACAGCAGCAGGCCATGGAGGTCTGGACAGGTGAGGGAGGCCGACCAAGGGGATCCAGCCTCTGCTCTGTCAGTGGCAAGCTGAGAGATCTCGGGCGGATCACTGCCCGTCTCTGGGCTCCACTGTCTCATCTGCACAATGCAAGTGTCAGGTTTGACCTGCAACCTTCTATGACTGTGCCTTCAAGACTCCTGGGTTAGAGCTGAGAGGAGGAGGACGTAATCTTTGCGTGTCCTCTCTCTTTCTCTCCTCCCCTTGCTTCCACAACCAATAATACAGGGGAAGCTACAAATGCCCTAGAAGCTAGAAGGGGCCGAATGGCAAGGCCGGAAGGCTCAAATTCTGGGCTCAGCTGTGTGTCTGTCTGTGCCTCAGTTTCCCTGAGGAGCTGAATAGGCCAGTGACTGAGAAGCTGTGGACACAAGCAGGATTTCTGTGGCTTCTTAGAGGACAGGTTCCCACACCTGGCCCTACTTTGGAATCACCTAGGGATACTGTTTCAAGTGGAAAGGCCCAGGCCCCAACCCACACCTTGTTATCAGACTCCTTAGAGGGCACCTGGTTGTGTTTACAAGTTTCCCAAGTCACTCTGCCACTCACCCAAACCAGGAGTGGGGCCCTTGCAGCAGAGATGCATAGGGAGTCTAGGAGCAGACACTGGGCCTCCTCTCCAGACCTCAGCGCCCTTTGTACTGCAAGAGATTTGGATTATGGAGGCCTCAGGCCACAGGCCTTTGAGATCCAGGATCCGCGTCCCCTGTGAGAGCCTGGTATGGAGGGGGCCCTGGTCCAAGGCAGGCTCGGCTGGGAGCTCGGTGGCTGGCTGAGGCCCCGGGCAACTGCGGCGAGGCCCCAGGACTTTAGGCCAAAGGGGACTGGCCCTCAAACAGCTGTTGCTGGTGGCCTGGCCCCGATGCTGTCCCACAGGGACCGCAGAGGATGACCCTGAGGCCCACCCTCCTTCCAACCTCCCCTGTTGTTCGTTCCTCTGCTCCCTGCTGTTTTCACGCTGTGTCTTTTCCTGTCCCATCTCTTCTCCTTGTTTTTCCAGAAAAGAAAGTCCAGTTCCAGCGTTCAGTTAATGGTGAGTGTCTGCCGTCTCCCAAACGCCGGTAAATGCTGGGCCTTGAATCCTCACTCCTGCCTCCCTCCTGCAGGCTGCGCTGGGAACCCGGGGCAGGGAGAGGGTGCTCAGGGCGTGCTTGGTACGTGTGCCTCGTGTGACAATATGTGTGTTGCGTGTGCGTGTTGTTTGCGTGTTTCTGTTGACACTTCAACTCCATGGCCCAGACCAGCAGCCTGACAGTAGGCCTGAGAATCCCCTCGGGTCCGAGGGTAGCTCTGAACCCCATCCTGCGTCCGGCCCTTGGCTTCTCGCTTCTCCCTGCCCTCTGCTCTGGACTCATCTCAGGCCTTGGTTTGTGCCAGTTGCAGCAAGGGTGGGGGACTTGGTTTGGCCAAAGTAGTGGGTGCCGGAAGAGGCCTTCTTGAGGTTCTGCAAAGCTACCCAGGGCCCGCCGGTGGCAGAGGAGCCACCAGCCCCAACCTCTGTCTAGGGCTTCCTGTGGTGGCGTGGTGGCCCACGTCCCTTTTCTTCTGGCCCCATGGCTGTCTCCCTCAGTTGTGTGGTTCTCTGCCCCTGAGAAGCCCAGCCTCTCACGCTGGGCCTCCTTCTCTCTCTCTTCCTCTCCTGCCAGCGTGTGTGCTCCTTCCCCATTCTGTGGCCACCATGTGCCTCTCTGCTCTCCCACACCCCGTCTTTGCTCCCTCAAGCAGCCAGTGCCCAGGAACCCCTCCCAGCCCTTCCAGAAAGGCCAGGGTTCTCCTTGCATCCATCCCTTCATCCACGCCCCCCGCTGCCACCTGCTTAGCCGGGCCCTTCCCTTCCTTAGGCTCAGAGGTCTGACAGGGTTTTCGGTGTGGCACCTGGACGGCAGAGCCGGTGAGGCTTACAGGAACCGGGCCACAGCATCAGGCAGCCGGGGCAGCCTCCAACTGGCTGGGCCTCTTCCTCACTCAGGAAGGCCTCACCACCTCCCGTGTTCTCTCTGGCAGGAATCTTCAGAGAGCACCAACACCACCATCGAGGATGAAGACACCAAAGGTAGGGGGGCCCTGCCTGCAGTGTCTGAGCCCCCCAGGCCTCCCAGAGGCCCCCTTCACTGACATCCCCCAGCCTGAAAGGGCCTCTGGGCCAGCCTTAAGTCCTGCTTTTCCAGAAAGAGCCTGGCATTGGCTCTTAGACTGGGTACCCTGTCGGAGGCCATTTCCCATGTGAGGACCTTGGCCCCAATACTGTTACTGTAGGACTTACATATTTATTTTAGTATGAAATTAACATATTCAAGTCATAAGTGTATTGTATTCCTTTGAAGCAGTTTTGAATTTTTGAAAAATGAATTGATTTTTAAAACATGAAATAATAATAGTAAAGGAGGGTAAAGCAAGAATTCAGAAAGTTCAGTTGACTGGAGCATGGGAAACATGGCCAAAGACCAACCCAAATACAGGGGCTTCTAGATCCAGTGGCTACAGTCTTCTTAGCCCTCAGGTGGAGGAGGGAGCACACCCCAGGTAACTGATGGTGAGAGCAGAGATTAGAAGGACAGGAACAGGAGTGATGGTGCCTTGTTTGGGGGCACTTCTTGTGTGCTAGACCTGTTCCAAGTGCTTTGTATGTTCCGGAGCTTCACGACCACTCTATGAGGTAGCAGTGGGACTGACCCCATGCTACAGCCCAGGAAACAGAGGGCCTGAGTAAATCGGCCCGAGATCCCATAGCTTGTAAGGGTGGAGTATGGATTTTGAACCCAGGCAGCGTGGCTCCTGGGCCTGGCTGGTAACCAGCACACTTGGAGCTCGGGGGAAGGCAGGTGGAGTGCCAGCTCCTGCTCAGGGGAAGCCCAATCCTTGGATGAGTTGGTGACATCCTGCTCTCTGCCTGCACCCAGGTGTCCTGCTTCCCCCAGCACAGGGGGACGGGCAAGGGCAGGGGGCCTCAGCCCAGGGCAGGTGTCAGAGCTACCTGGGGAGTGGCTGAAGCACTGTCGGCCTAGAAAGATGGCAGCTGTAGATATTCTTCAGGAGTTTAGATAATTTGCCTCTAAAAGAATACAATGATGGGAAAAAGAGCATTTAATTAGGTAGGAAATATTTTTGCCCAGTTGCAAGTCAGGGTTTAAGGCAGTCCAGACACACTGAACACCATGACCACCTGTCTCCTCACTCTGAACGGTGCCCTGGTAGAGCAGCTCCATGTGTGTGGCCCTCTTTGGTCCTTCCCAGCTGGGGAGTGGGGGTTGGTCACTCTGTCACCATAGCCTGGCACTAGAGCAAATAATCTTCTACAAAGGTCCTGGGGACAACCTTTAAAAATACACTATCTTGAAGAATTCCCTGTTGGGGTAAAGTCAGCAGTCTAAGTCTCTCAAGTATGATTTTCTAACCATATTCCTGGCCCTTCTCCTGTGGATTCTGAATCCTTACATTTGCGGTGGACTGAGACATGGCGTTTCCAAGACATTCCCCGTATTTGAGACTCTTTGTCCTAGTGGTAAGAGTTAGGTGCTGGGATTTTGAGGAGATTCATTGTGGACTCATAGCCCTGGTCTCAGAGCAGTCAGGGTCTAGGAGGTGACCTGGCTCTGTTCTTTTTTGGTGGAGTCCATTTTCTGTGTGACCTTGGACAACTTGCTCAACCTCTCTGAGCCTCAGGTTCCTTAACAGTGAAGAGATGATGATAATAGTATCAACCTCAGAGGATTTCTGTGCAGATGAAATGAGAGGCTGCATATAAAGTGCTTACACAGTATTTGGCACATGGTAATTGTTTTAAAAATCTTAATTTCTTTTTTCAAAGTGGAGCTTAAGGTTGAATGACAGGAAGCCACATGACATTTTCTTGGAGCACCACCTTTACTAAAAGATTATTTTAAGACAAATGTTTATATGTTAAACAGAGAAATATTTGGAATAGGATGTGAAATTTGTTTGCACTATTAATGTAAAATGTGGCTTGCCATAAACATTCTCCACCTGGGCTACTGGCTCCGGGTCTCACTGCTGAGGCCCCATGTTCGCAGTTACTAACTTCCGCTTCAGAGAGATCAGGATGGGGCATTCTGTGAAGTTCACTTAGGTCCCCTTTACAGAGACGCGTCTAAAGCCCAGAATGGAGAAAGGGCACAACCAAGTCATTAAGGGATGCTCCCTGCCTCCGTTTTCCCTCATGGGAAGGGCCGTGTCCAACGGGAGAGATGCTGGCTCAGCCAATAGCTTCTCCCTGCATTTGGCAGGAAAAGGAACCCTGTGCCTCCCCCAGCTCCTCCAGGCCTCAGAGAAAGTTTCCTGAGAACTATTTTCTGGTGTTAATTTGCTAAATCTTCTTACTAAGTGAGAATAGTAGCTTGTAGGATGGATCCTGACCTAACATTAAAGTTAATTAGAAATGTCATCCTCCAGGGAACATCTTCCCCTGAACAAAGAAAGGGACATTAATATTTCAGAGCCTCTCGAGCTTAACGCATAGGCCTCTGACCCTGTGAGCTTCACAGGGCTCTGCCAGGCTTCCTCCCCACCCACCGGCCTCCTCCTGGTCATCTCCATGAACTATTAATTCCCTCTCCAACCCAAGGAACTGCCTCAGAATCTGGGCAGAGACATTTGGGGACATATCAATCAGGAATGCTGATCATATCTCATCCTCAGCAAGCTGTGTGACCTTCAGAGGGTGCCTTAACTTCTCTGGGGCCTCAGCTTTCCCATTGGCATGGGAGCACACCTAGATTGTCTGGGTGAACACCTGGCAGGTGAGGAATGTCAGAGGTTGCAGCAGTGGAACTGCTGAGGGCACGGGAGGGGCCCAGAACCAGGGTGAATTTCTCCAGGTCTAAGGAGCACCGGACCCCCAGATCTTCTGTTCCAGAGAATGAATCTAGGGAGGTTCCTGTTCACTAGTCTTCACCTGTTGACAAACTTGGTGTCCTGAGTGACTGGAGGCACAAGTGAGGCACCGTCTTGGGCTGCATTAATAGAGGTGTAGTGGCCAGAATTGGGGAGGGGATAAAGAGTGTTACCCAGACTTGATATTCTGCAATATTCAAGCCACACAAGGAATTGTGTGCTCACACTCAGAGAGATATCTAAACAGCTCAAGGACCCTAGGAAAGTAGAAGGCCAGCTTGTGTCAGATCCTGCAAACCACATCTTGGAGAACTTCAGCCTTCAAAAGAGAAGACTGGGGGTTGGGAGGAGGGCATAGAGTCTTGGGGAGCATGTGCACAATGCAGGGGAAGGCAGAAAGGGAACTGGGATGATAACTAGGGGCTTTAAGGGGGAGATCTGGACTTGAAGGAAGAAGGAGGTCGGTACAAAAGGCAAGAATTGTCCGACCGTGCCGTGGGCTGCCCAGCAGGCTGCGAGCCCCGAAGTTCCATCCAAGAGGGAGAAGCATCCCTGCTCTGGCAGAGGCCAGAGACTGTCCCCAGGAGGAACTTCCAATTCAGAGATTTCCAGATGATAATAATCACAGCTCTTATTCATGGAGTGCCAGGCACTGCTCTAAATGCCTTACATAATGCATCATTATTTACGTAAAGGAATTTGATATAAAAGACTTGGAACAGTAGCTGGCTCTCAGTGAGGACTATATATGTATTAGTTATTCTATTGATGTAGTGTTAACTCAATCCTCAGAACCACTATACATAGCTCTTTTATACATATGGGGAAACTGAGGCATGAGGCAGCACTATGCCCAAGTCACACAGTCATTAGCTTGCAAACTCAGGAAGGCTGGCTCCAGAACCCCAGCCCTTGACCACTTTGCTAGCTTCTCTACGACGGCAGTGAGGAACGGCGCACAGGAGGCAGGGCAGTAAGCACAGGCTCATGGGATATCAGGCTGGAAGGAGCTGGTGCAGAGGAGACAAGGGAAGCGGAACAGGCCCCGTGTTCTGTCAGGAGCTCAGGGATTGGCTCTGGCCTGTCACCCCGATTCTGGTGGGAGTGGCTGGAATGGGCAGGTGTGGGCTGCTTCCCTTCCTCAGTCTAGCTTCCACAAAGGAGGGCAGAGTTGACTGGGAGGCCAGACTCTTGAGCTCTTAGGGACAGGGCCACCAAGTGACTTGGGTGATTCCAGGGATCAGGGTAAAGACATCTGCTGCAGACCCTAGTTTGGTCCATTCTGTTCGTTCATTCAGTCATGCCACTTCTGCCCCATTCCAGGCAAGGCCCTGGAGTGACCCAGCAAGCTCACAGTCTAAGACGGACTCATTCCCAGTCGTGATGACTCTTAGCGGAGCTGGGAGCCAAAGCATCAGTGACTCACTGTGGTGAAGATGATCACTGTCACATCTACTTAGCACCTGCTGTGTGCCAAGAGCTGTGCTCGGAGCAGGGCCCCTGCCCTCAGGGCATGTGGTGTGGGGGAGTGTGTGATGGGCTTTGAGCTGCAGACTCTGGCTGGAACCTGTTTCATCTCTCTCACCATGTCTGACATGGAGGTGATGGCCACATGAAGTCATGCTGTGAGGCTTCAAGAGTTTGTAGGTCGAGCATGTAGCACAATGCCTGGGGCATTTATTCATTCAATAGTAAATGCTTTGGGAGCCAGGCCTGTTCCAGGCTCCAGGGGTCCAGGAGGCCAAGGGCAGCCACCAGGCAGCAGCCTCCACAGAGTGCATATTTGAGAGGGGGATGGACAAGCACACGGGCCAGTGTGCCAGGGCGTGGGTGGGGCATGGAGGTCCTGTAGAAAAGGCCCTGGGCCTGGAGCCAAAGTCTGCAACTGGTATGTTCTATGTCCTTGGCCAAGTCAACCCCTTACTGGGCCTCCATTTCCCCAAAGTTTGGTAAGGAGGCTGGGTCCCTGGTCTCCAAGGGTTCTTCCAGCCTCCTTCTGTGGTTGTGTGTCCCCTGGGCGTGAGGTGAGCTCCCAGTGTGAGATGGGCATGGGGGATGGCATGGGCAGTGGCAGGAGAAGGAGCAGGCACGGCCTCCTGCCCAGGCTCCTAGACTGCGATCACCTGAGGCTGCTGCACTTGGCTTTGTCTACCTCCCAGGGTGTCTCTGAGGCACAGATCCAGCACCTGTGTGGAAGGGTGTGGGAAACGGCGCTCACAGTGCATACCTGCTGTGTACCAGGCTCGGGGCCAAATGCATCTCGCACATCACCTCATCCCACCTCACGACAGTCCTGGGAGGAGGGCACTGCCATCTCAGCTGTCAGACCAGGAAACAACCCTGGGGCCTGTGATTGCACAGCTTTTAAGGACCAGGGCTGGGATTCACAAGAGGCCTGTTCAGTACCAAAGACTGGGTTATTTCCATGATATGTTTGGCACTAATGAAACAAGGGGTGGTATTCCCATTTTACAGATGGGAAAACTGGGACTCAGAACATCACACAGCTAATAAAAAAATTGATGTCTAACCCTCTACCAGAAAGACAGCAGCTATTCATGGTGTTTCAGTGGCAGACAGGGAGGCCAGGTCTCAGGAGCTGGGATTCATTATTCCTAGAAGGTTCTGGATAGCTCAGTGCTTGACTCATACAGGGACCCAAATGGAGCACAAAGTTCACCCAGACCTAAGGGATGACTTAGCCCTAAAACCTTCCTCACTGGTCCTAATTTGGGTCACTGGGGGAACCCTGGTTTGTGGCAAAGCAAGGTGATAGGAAAGCATATTTTGGAGTTAAAACCTGGGTTCAAAGCAGGCCTAGAGTCAGAATGTCCACCATGCAAGCATTTTGGAGGCAAAGGCTGCGGCTGAGACACTGGCTCTGCCCTCTGTAGTGGGGGGGACTTTCATACGTTTTTCACTTTCCCGGGCCCTGGTTTATTCTGTGAAAGGGGAGTAATGACACTTACCTCTCAGGGTCCACAGGGGATAAAGGAGACAGTCTGTGTGAGGCCCCCAGGGCCCAGCCCAGGGTCTGACACACAACAGGGACTCAGAAAACAGGAGTTGGCGCCTCACTACCATCACAGTCACTATTTTCTCTCTGTGTCCCTCCCTGCCTTACAGTGCGGAAACAGGAAATTATCAAAGTGACAGAGCAACTGATTGAAGCCATAAGCAATGGAGATTTTGAGTCCTACACGTGAGTTGGCCGGGCCCGTTCTGCATGTGCTGCCCGGATTGTTCCGGGGAGCTGACTGCTGACTTTGAGAGGTTCTCGCCTCTGACCTTCATTCGGCATGGCTGTGAATCACCCTGAATCTACATCTATTCTGCATTTAAATTTTACACTTTCATTAAGTTTTTTGTTCACAGTACTGTGTATCTCAGTCCTGCTCCTCCTCCTGCTCTTCAGACCTTGTTCCCCGGGAGGAACTCCAACAAGACCCCTTTGCTACCCCAGGGAAGGAAGAGTCCTCTCCACCACACACGGGTCTCCTCAGGAGATGAGCTGGGAAGGAGGGGAGGGAGGCAGGCTCCCGGCCCCCCCACCCCCCGACCTCCTCCCCAGTCCTGCTGACATGGATCCTCCGCAGGGGCCTCCTCAGACCTCTGAGCTTGGATGGGCAGGAGCAGGCAGGAATTCTAGAGTGTGTACATCCAGTGAGCAGGGCTGAGCAAAAGAGCCTCAAATAGAGCCTTAAGTCCTCTGGGGACTAAGGCACTGTGCACAAAAATAACGTACACTGAGGCAGGTCATGGGACACATCCCCTGCACACCTGGACGCGCCCTCAGGAGCGCAGCCTTGCGCAAGGGCTGAGCTGGAGCTCCCCCTGGCGGTCGCCCGCATGCTTCCTGGTCTGGCCAGCAGCTGGGCCCCAGGGAGCCCTCAGCCAGCCCCAGGGAGAGCAGGGGTGCTGGGCTGAGGCCTTGTATCCCAGCCGGGGCTAACAACGCTTGTGCCTGGAGACCCCGTATATGTTTTTTCACGGACAAAAGCTGTCAACAAAAGGTAGAGAACGACTCTTCCCTGTTGGGTTCACCTGAGGTGGGAATAACCTGGCCAGGGTTTGCTGCTTGGGCCACCTGTCCCTGGTTCCCACTGTGCCCAGGAGCTGACGTTTGTCTCCCAGAGGCTTGGCAGGCCACCTACATTCCAACTGCACAAGGGTCTCAGCAGCACAGGGCAAAGTCCCAGCAATCGACTATCTCTGGAGGAGCAATGACCTCAGAAGGCGCAGGTGTGAGACAGAGGCAGCACATACGAGTGTGTGTGCGTGCCCTGCTCCGTGTGCATGACCTGCTCCGTGCACTCAGACCTGAGACTGTGTGCACAAGCAGTCTGCAAAGCTGTGTGTGTGCACATTGCATCTGGGTGTTGCATAAACCACAAAAACGTGCTGTTAAATGGGTCTTGCAGCTAGCCCTAGAAAGTGGCTAGGAGGATACAGGCAGGGAGGTGGAGAGAGGTGTTACCTTAGACCCCCCAGCCCCCAGTGCTGTGTCTGGGGTCCCCTTTCCACCTCTGGGATATCATGTCCTCTGGCATCTGCAGCCTACTCTAGGTTCCGACTTCTTGCCATGACCTCTGGGGCTCATGGCGCCCTGAGTCTTACAACTTGTAACCCTGAATAAGCCCCTTCATCTCCATGAGCCTTACTTAGTACAAAGGAGTTGGAGCAGCTGAGTCCCTTGGGAGGCAGGGATGCCCAAACACCTCCTGGAGATGGGCTTCTCCAGTGGGGGTGCTCAGTCTCCTGGAGGCTCAAACTCAGACCCCCACCAGGCTTGGAAGGACCTGGAGATGGGAGGGTCCTGAGCACCCCATGTGATCTGAGCATTGCCCCCCAGCCCAGGCCTACTCCATCTGGAGAATTTGAGGTCCTGAGTGGAGAAGCAAGCTGTCTAGTCCCACAGAGCAGGGTCAGGCCAGGCGGAGCAGGGGCAGAGCACCCTGCACCCGCCCTGGTGTCTCCCCGCCTCCAGGGCCTCCCCAGGCTGAGATCTGTGCTTGTCCTGGGGTGCTTCCTTCCCCTGGCTTCATTGTCACAGGGGTCTTTGTCATGCCACAGAAAATCCCAGAGAATGGGGAGTGGGGAGACAGTTTTTCCTCCCCTCAACTTGCTGTTGGGACGTCCCCAGACACAGACCTGGGAGGAGCCACCCTGCTGCAAAGACAGCCGCAGGAGCCTCCTCAGCAGCCCCTGGGCTCCAGTCCTGAGTGTTCCGGGGGAAAGCTATTTCCTCACCCCACCGAAGTGAAGCTGCTGCTAACCATGGGGCACTGTTGTATGAAGTAGCAAATGCACCCCCTTTGGGGATGTATCTGCTTGGTGAGAAGTCACTTTGCTGTGAAGGAAAGGGTCTCCCCTCAGGAAGACAAAGGAGGAAGAGCCTCCTCAGGAGCTGCTGCCCTGGGGGCAGGGGTGCAGAGGCTGAATTCTCCCTGCCTGTGCAGCACGTAACTGTGTTACCATTCATGGTGTTGGGCTTAGAGAGGCTAAGCCACCTTTCTGAGGGTCTCATAACCAATAAGCGGCAGGGCCAGGGCCTGAGCCCAGTCTTCCCGGTTCTAAATGGCACCAACTAGCTATGATGCCCTGCACTGTAGGGGCTGCAGGCCCTTCCCCACCGCAAGCTGATCCCACGAGGTGAGTGCAAGCACTTGACTTCCACAGACCCGCCCCTCTCACCTCTAGGCCTCTGGAATTAGAGGGTGGCCCCAGAGGCCACTTCAGCCCATCTTTTCTCTGGTTTCCTCCCCCCAGGAAGATGTGTGACCCCGGAATGACAGCCTTTGAACCTGAGGCCCTGGGAAACCTGGTCGAGGGCCTGGACTTCCATCGATTCTATTTTGAAAACCGTGAGCAGTCCCTTCCTCTGGGTGCCTGGTGTCTGCTCTCCTTCCATGTCCTGGCCAATGGCACAGCAGGGTGACGGGCAGGCCCCAGGGTGGGGCAGGGGCCAGCGAAGAGGAAGATCCTGTGCCTGTGTGGGCAGGGGTTGGTGCCATCTTGCTTCACTCTCCCAACCCTGGCCCATCTGACTGCATCTGCCCCTCTTGTGACAGGACAGGATCTGGGGACAGCATGACAAGCCCTCCCAGCCCTCCCCTGCCCATGACCCTGGGAGGGCCTGGGGAGGGCCTTATTCCTGTTTTGCAGATAAGGGAGCCTTCCTACCAGGGTGCACACCCAAGTTACAGTCATTTTGACACCTGGGCCACCTGGTCCCAGGTTGTTATTACAAGTGCCCCCTGTGGGTGGGCAGTCTGGGGAAGAGGAGAGGACCTCAGAGCTCACACTGCTGTGCCCCTGCCTGTTTGTCTAGGTCTCTGTCTGCATGTCTGTCCTTCCTGGGCCTCTCTTCTGCAGGAGAGATCCTGACAGCTTTGCAACTGTCAGGGGGCTGTCAGGAGGCTGCGGCCGGGCCTGACCTAGGCTGCTTTCTGCCTGTGTCCGTGTCTCACCTTGTCCAGGGGCCAGACAGGGATAATCCAAAGCCCCTGCAGGTCAGAATCCTACAGCTCAGGACTTGGAGGAACACCCTGGGAGGTAGCATACCCAGGGTCCCCCAGGGGAAGGCCCCTACCACTGAAGCTATGCAAGATGATTTCCAGTGTATGTGGGCACCGTGTGAGACAGCATTGGTGCACACAGTGAGAAAGTTGGTCTCTTTCCAAGTTCTCTTCCAATACGTCTGGCTCCATCAAGGGAGAGGCTCCGTTAGGTACTAGTCTCTCTTGAACACCTCTCTAACACTTTCTAATTCACCTCTTTATCAAAGAGAGAACAGTCCCAGGCTCAAATACCTTGCAGACAAGAGCATGGAGCTAGGACTACATAACTTTCATTTTTTTCACTGGACTTACTAAAATTGTATTCTGTAACACTAGTTGTTCATTAATGATTGTGCTAGAAAGTTTTCTTTTAAAATAAATATATAAATTAATAAAGTGAATCAGTCTAAGGAAACATTTTACTGAAGTAAGTGCAGGTGGCACGTGTAGATAAAAATAAAGGTGGTATTTAAGTGACTGAAGTAGGATCTGGTCCAACTCTTTTTAACAGAAAAGGAAGCTGAGGCCCAGAGGGGGGAACTAATTTGTCCAGCGGAACCCAGAGAGCCAGTGGCAGAGCCCAGGGCTTCCAGTGCCCTCCCCTCCCCATGTGCCCTCTGATTGGTGGGTCAGGCCCCCAGCTGGCTGTTCCTCTCTGCCTGCACCCGATCTGACCAAATATTGTAGAATACAGGGACTCAAGAGCACCCTCAAAAAGCTTTGAAGAAGGAAATTGCATTTTCTCTTGATAATCAAACTCGGGTTCTCTGAGGCTAGCGGCGGAGGTTGAATTCTCATGAGCAGAGAGGTGGCTGGACCCCCAACAGTCCCTGTCACCCGGAGCTCCCTGGCTGGTCGCTGCAGCCACTTCTGTATTGGTCTGTGCTCTGGGGGCGGTGGTTCCCCAGAGTGAGCTCCCCACCCCCCACAGAGCAGAGCAGGGACCAGGCTGAACTGGCTCTAAAGGCTCAGGAAAGGCCAAAGGGAGATAAGCAGAGAGAAGGCTGTGCCAGCCCTTGGCCTGCATCCAGGCGGGGCCTTGTCCCAGCACTGGCCCTCTAGACTCTAGGCCTGACCATCTGGTCACATCAAAGGGCCTGTGAAAGCAAACCCCAGAGTAACTACCTGCCCCAGGCCAAGTTCTTGCACCTGCTTTTCCCTGCTGGGGGACCCGGCCCTTTCTCCCGTGCAATCTGGTCTGTTCAAGGATCACCACATTCGGGTGGTTGTTTCCTTACGAATGCCTCTCAGGACCCCAGCACCCTCCAACAACAGCAAGGCCCAGTGACCTAAACAGTACTAAGCTCTGTGTCCCTTCTGGGGTTGTTCTAGATTGTCCTAGTTTAGTTCTACCGGGAGACTGACTTTCTTAGGTTCTACTGCATTCCTTTCAGAAACTGGCCCAGGTTGGGACAAGTCAGATTGCTTCTCTGGACCTCAGTTTCCAGATCTGCTAAATGGATACATTGAATTAGTCTTGAGGGCCTCCATCCCTGAATGCTGTTGGAGGCCTCTTTGCATTTTGTAGGAGGACCACTGGGTGACCTCTGATCTCTGAGGTCACTCCTATGCTTGTATGCAAAAGCTCTATATTCTGTCTAAGAGCTCAGAATTATAAAAGTCTGTTAGTCTACATATCTAACACTCAGTGATTTTGACCCCTAAGCCTGAGCATACTGTGATCATAGTTAGGGGTTAGGTACTCTTAGATACTTTCTGCAGTTCTGAATAAAAAAGGACAATTTTACATTTTTTAGGAAATCAGTGGCTTACAAACCTGGCTGGGCATCAGATTCAGAGGGTAGGGAAAGGGAAAGGGCTTTTTAATATGACAGATTCTTGAATTGGCATCTCCCAGGGTGGAGATGGGCAGTGTGTATTTTCTGTAGACTGAATCTACAGGATTCAGACCTACATTTCAGCTGCTTTAAGGGAAGGCATGAGGATTTCCCTGAAGCCCAAGATCCTGGTGACCCCTGTCCAGATCCTCCCTAGGTCTTCGTCTTTCTGTGCTTTTGTTCTTTTGTATCTTGCTGAAAAAAATTGAGAGTTCCTAGAACAAAAATGATAAATACTACTACTACTAATAATAATGGTGGTGGTTCCTATTTCACATAGAGAGAGCTGATTTCAGATGCTTTTGTCAGTTCTGTCACGATTACAAGAGCTATGAATTCCCCCAACTCTGGAAAGCTCCAGCACTTTACTCCATAACCACCAATTCCATCCTTACAATTCTAAGATTCTAAGATTCTATGTTATCCCCCAAGATTCCTTCATTCTGTAGGTTGAGAGCAGGGGTGGTGAATGAGGAGCCCACAGGCCGTATCTGGATGGCACATGTGTTCATGTGGTCTGCATGATTTTTAAAATTTGCATTAGATGCCAATAAATAAAAATTAGTCATTTTTACATAAAAATTCAGATTTATAGATTCTAGTGAAAATCCATGTGGAAACATGGTCCCACTTATTCACATAGCAAGCCCCAGGAAAGCTTGTACAAGGCACCCTCTGTAGATGGGACATGATGTGCTATGCACCACAGTCTCCAGCACTCCCTTTCGTCTCCTTGGCCCAGAGGCAAAGAGTCAATATTGTCATTTAGCATCTTATACCCAGCTCAATCCCCTTGTTTAGGTACTTGTCTGGTCTCTGCAGTGATCTGAGTTTGAGGCTCTGGTCTAAGCACATCTGACTCTACAACTGTAGAGTCAGATGTGTCTGACCCTATGATTCTGAAATTCCACACCCCTGTGTCTGAAGAATTGGCATGTCTGAGCGTCATTGTAGCTAAGCTGGATATGACCTAGTCATCTAGAAGTTCTGCCTTGACTCCCAGGCAGCTGAGCCCTGTCACAGAGTCCCCTCCTCTGGAAATGAAGGCAGGCTGAGGTGCCTCTGTTGAGAGGCTTGCTGGGGATCTGGGAAGTCAAGGAAGTGAGGCGGGAGACTCCCCTGTGCATCTCCTCTGCCACCCCCCCTGTCTCCAGTGTGGTCCCGGAACAGCAAGCCCGTGCACACCACCATCCTGAATCCCCACATCCATCTAATGGGCGACGAGTCGGCCTGCATCGCCTACATCCGCATCACACAGTACCTGGACACGGGCGGCATTCCCCGCACAGCCCAGTCAGAGGAGACCCGTGTCTGGCACCGCCGGGATGGCAAATGGCAGATTGTTCACTTCCACAGATCTGGGGCACCCTCCGTCCTGCCCCAGTAAGCACCCCTCCTTTCTGCCATCTGTCCTTTAGGCTGATCTAAAGGGATGGGGTGGTGTCCTTCTGGAGGGGTCTGTGGTGGGGACCCAGGCTGCCAGAAGGCCATGGGAGTTAGGGGTCAGGAGGACCACAGGGGGGAAGCCAGGCCTGCAGGTCCTGGGGAGGGCTCGGGGGGGGGGGACCCAAGGGAGGCAATTCGAGCTCCACCTAAGGAGGGGACAGGGTGGTTGCCTGGGCAAACATGGCTCCCCCAGAAGCACACACTGTGTCTTACAGTTGAAGGACCAGGCTGGGGGCACTGTGCCGCAGAGATCCACTCTCCGTCCATGGATGTGGCTGCTGGTTCTCCCCCCTGGACTTTGCTGGAATTCCCCCAATCATGTCACCCTACTACCGCCACCATCAGCATCACCTTCATACCTGTGTCAAGAAAACCTGCCTGTTTGCAAAAGCCACCACGACTTCAGAATGAATGGCCACACCTCCCTGCTCCTGCCCGTCCCTCTTGCTCTTTGCCCCCGCCCGGGCAGGGCTTCTTCAGGCCTGGGTGCCCTGGGTGCTGCCCAAGGACCCCCCTCCTGGCTGTCACTGGCTTGAGCTTGCCCTGGCTGTAGGCCAGAAAGCCCAGCTGTGCTCCGCTAGGGGCTGGGGCGGAGGGCAGGACCAGGAGGAATGTGGGGTTGCCCCCTCTCCCTGATCCCCCTCTTCCGGGATTCCCTGAGGAAGAGCAGACAAGCCCCCAGTTCCCTGAGCCAGTCTCCCCTGCAGGGGAAGGGAGAGAGGAGCACACCCCAGGACCCCCCGCTTCACACTCCTCCCTAGCCTCTCTCCCACCCTGTCCTGGCCCCCAGGCCTCTGACTGACACATGGGGAGCAGGAGCCTCTCAGGGCGCCCCACTGCTTGCCTCCGACATAAACAGCCCGTTCCACCCTTCCATCAGTCCTGGAGAATTCCAGCTTCGTCACATCTGAAGGAGAGAATCTCATTTCTATTTTGGGGGCAAAGAAAGCAACGCTTAGGTGTCACTTCTACTTGGACCGCATGCCTTTTTATAGCCAAACTTCTGTGTGTTTCGTAAGCAGATTCCACGTTAATGGGTATTTATGTAATAACTAGACCTCACAGTAATTTACTGTGAGGTGGGCTGGGAAGGGAGCTGGGAAGAGGGGTGAGGGTAGTTTTTTTCTGTTCTAGGTCTTTTTTTTTTAATGTTATCTCTGAGATGAACTTTGTTACCTGTGGTTGTCTGGGGCTGAGGCGGACCCAGCCCCAGGGAAAGGCCTCTCTGACATTTTGGTCCCAAGGTTCCTTTTGGGCCTGTGGAAGCATCTGATGTTAGTGCTGACTAGGAAACAGCGGATTAGGGCAGAGAGTTGGGGAGGTTTTCCAGGTGGAAACACAGGGACTTGACTTTGCTTGCTTTTCACACTGGGGACTTTACTGCCATGCTTCCCAGGATTTCATCCCACCACATCCGTGTGCCATCCCCAGCACCCCTACTTCTGGGGACTTCACTGCCTCTGCCCTCGGCATCGGCTGGTTAAAGCAGGGCACTGAATGTCTGCTCTTCACGCCTCGTCCTGTAGCCATGGGTTCGCATCTCTCCCTCTTCCTTCCTTTCTCTTTCCCTCTTCCCCGGAGATTGACTGATGTGGAATGCTTTGGCACATCCACTGGGATCTACTGTCTGCACTGTTTTTTTGCATGACTTTATATGCAGTAAGTATGTTTAAAAAAAAAGAAAAAAGGAAAAAACACTCAGCAAAACCAACCTACATGTTTTGAACAAAACAAAACAAAACAAAATAGAGGTTGTATTCTCAGTGTCTGACTCGGAATTATGTTGCTGCCTCTCTGTGCTTTTGGCCTCTGTGTGGCCGTGTTTTGCCAGCATGACACACTGTCCCCTCTGGAGGATTAAGGGGAGGGAGAGCCACATCCCCAGGGATTTGGAGGCTCTGGTTCCCCTGAACCTCTGGGAGTCCTGGATGCATGGCGGAGCAGGGCTGATGGGGATGTTTGAGCTGGGACTTTCTGAGTTCTTCCCTATCATTATATGTCTGCTGCACCCTTTTCTCAACTGCTGCTGCCCCTGGGACAGGTGAGGCAGGCTGGGTGGGGCTGCAGGCCAGGAAAGAGGCTGCTCAGGCCTCCTGGTCACCAAACTGGTCGATCACTGGCCTCTATCCTTGGCAGAGACCCTGCTGCTGAGGCCGAGGAGCAGGCACTTGGCACTTGGCCTGCCCAGGTCCAGAGGTCTTCCCAGCAAGGCCCAGTGATCCCAGAGTCCCTACAGCAAAGCTACCTGCCTCCCTTGGGAGCTACCAGCTCTCATAGTTCGCCCTAAGCCAAAGGGGAGGGTGTGGCCTTTACCAGGGGATGCTGCAATTGCCATGGCAACATCCAGTCCCTTCTTCAGCCTCGGTTTCTCCATCAGTTACAGAGTTAAATATTCCTGCCCAGCCCATGTTGCAGGGCTGATGGGGAATCTCAGTACTGTGACAGCTGGTGGGCTTCGCCCCCAGAGGGGCTCCTGCTCCATTCTGGGCCTGGCCAGTTCCCTCTCATCCCCATCTGCCCCTCATTCCCCTCTTTGGTGTCTGTCAACTGCTTATCAGCAGTGGACTGTGGGGAAAGAGCCATGGTTTAGGGGTTAGTAGGATTCCATTCCATTCCACAGCAAGCTAGAACCAGACTTGCTGTGTGACCCTGGGCAAATCCTTTCCCTGCTCTGGCCTAGGGTTTCCTGGTCAGAGGAAACTGGGCTGGAAGATCCCAATGTCCTGATTTTCATTTGCTGACATACCTCCTGTCCACTCTGTTCCTCTCCAAGTGCCAGAGAAACGGAGGCAGGTCTCTACCCCAGGCTGAGATGGCCCCACTGGGAAGGCCACACCTGTGGGTGAGCAGTCCATCAGGGTGGACCACAGGGTACCAGTGTGATCCTGGGGCAGCATGCAGGGAAGACTGGCAGACAAAATGGCCCAGATCCCATCCCCACCAGAAAGTGAAACTCTGTGCTCCTCCAAAACATCCTGTAGATGCAAAAAATCCAGGCCTGAGATAGGACCTAGGCTCCAGCATGTGAACACATTTCCAGGAATGTATCCTCCCAGGTTTGTGTCCATAGGGCACTAATCCTGACACTGGCCTCCCGTCTCCCTTCAAGGGGAGACCCTTTAGGGGATGTGTTTGCCAGACTCCCCGTGCTGGTTTCTTTGTTACTATTTGTTTGGGGGTTTGTTTTAGTTTTTTCCTTTTTTTTAAATATGTGGCTCTGAACTTGAATGACCACCGCTCAAATTTTTTGCTGTTGGGGGGCAGGGGGGAGAAGTGGGTGTCTGTTTTATTCTTGGTGTTTTCAGTGCAATAAATAGCTACAAACTTCTGTGCACTCACTTTTCCCTGTCTTGGCCAAGCATGGGCACTGGGGGGCTTTTTATTTGTTTCCTGTTCTAGAGTCCCCTGTTGTAAAATAAAACCGCAGGTCTTCATTCTGATTGGACTGACTTGGTCACATGCTCCAGGCTGAGCCAGTCACTGTGGGATCCTGCCTGGACCGCATGCCCCAGCCTGGGATGGGACCGGCCTCCTCTCAGGCACATGGCAAGGGGTTTGCCACTAACAGCCAACAGCAAAGTCTCCCTCGGTGGGGTGTCGGCTGGGGTGTTGCCTGGGGCAAGGCTCTTCCCTTGGCCTTGGGTTCCTTGTATAATGAAGAGGTTGGCCCAGGGGTCCCTCCGTGCCCATTCTCTTCCCTCAGCCCAACCTCACAGACAAGCCCCCAGGCTTCAGAGCCCCTGAAGACTGGCTTGGAAAACAGAGTAAAAGGAGGAAGAGTCTCTTACCACACACTCTCTGTGGGCTGGGGCTGGTCCTGGGGGCTGGAGAGAAGGATGGCATGAGAAGCTCCATGGGCTGGAGGGAGGCCCCTGCCCCACCGGAGGCTGGTTTGGCTGAGTGCAAGCTGCTTCGGCTGAGCCGGGGTGGTGAGTCAGTGGCTTTGGCCTAACAGGGCACCCAGCCCTTCTAGGTGGCTGACACGGGATTTTCAGTGCTGATCCCAGGACAGTCAGAGCAAACCGACCAGACGGGTCACTCCAAGCCATGCCCCTGCCTGAGAGGCCTGGATTCCACAGGACCAGGCAGCTATGCCTTCTGGAGCCCATGGTCTGCTCTAGACCATGCGTGGGGGTGTCTTGGGCCCCAGAATTCCTGCACTAGCTGCTTTCCAGGTCTATCCTCACTGCTGGTTTTGCAGGGTAGCCAGATGTGTGCCCCGTGAACACATGTGAGGGCTCTTACAGTGAGGGCAGAGGCCAAGGCTGAGAAGGGCAAAGGAGTGGATTCAAAGGGACCAGGGGCCTTCATTTTCACTCTTGCCCTGTAGCCTGCCCAGGTCGGCAACAGGGCTTCTCCCAGCTCCGCCTTCATGGTCCCTGGGATGGACTCTCCAGGCCGGCGGCAGAAGGGCTTGAGGGCTTAGGCTGCCATTTCAGACACATTCCAGCAGGTGGCAGCACAGGAGCAGGTTACAGGAGGTCCCGGACCCTGAGTGGCCTGCAAGCTCCAGCAGCGCCCAGTTGACCTCAAGAGGTTTGTTTCAACCCTCAGAAGTAGCAACTCCACCAAAAACACTATTCTCTCACAAGCACATGACCCTTTATAGTTCACAAAGTGCTTTCATAACTCCTCTGGTTTCACTTAGAACAGCCTGCTTCTGAAGATGAAGACAATGAGGTTCATGGCAAAAGAGGCCTCTTGTAAGACAGGCAGGGCTCATGCCCCGGAGCTCAGGTCCCTCCAGGGCCTCCTACGTCCTGGTCTGTGTTTCCCGTCCCTGAACAGCCAGAAAACAGTGAAATCCTCTCTTTGACCCTCTGACCCTTCCAGCCACTGCCTCGGTTTCCTCCGTCTGCAGCCCCTGCCTCCTCGCTGCCCATTTACTCCAACATCTGCTGCAGAGGGCCGGTTCCCTCTCATTCTCTTGATCAGCCCACAGCAGTGCCTCCCTGCCCTTCAGGACACAGCTGCTCCAGTATCGTCTCTTCTGAGAAGCCTCCATCACACTTCCCCAGCACACGCTGGGTTAGGTCCCTCGGTGTGTTTCCACAACCCATGTCACCCTGGTGCTCGGGATGGAGGTCGCCTAAGCGAGCATCTGCAAAACTGTGTTTCAAGGCAGGACAGCCTTGTCCTCACTCGGCATGCACACAGCAGTCATGCTCACAGGGGCCAGCCCTGGCAAAGGGGTGCTGCCGGGATGAAGGGGGAGAGGGCACTGCGGAGCCTGGAGCAGTCGGCCCCCAGCCCCGTGCAAGAACCATGGCGCACCCTGCCTAACACTGAAGGCCAGGCATGCCCTACGTCCTTTATATGAACTCTCACCATCCTCAGTTCGCCCCTCTACTGGGCACAAACTTTCTCTTCATTCCATGAACAAGGGACTGCAATTTGGGAGGGGAGGAACCTGCCCAAGGTGCCGGGGTGTGAGGGAAGCTGCTGAGATCCTTGGTCTCAGCACTCTGAGCACCGGCTGGGGCATGCTGTAGCCCTCTGGACTCAGAGCCAGACCTGTCTCCAGTCCCCAGGAGTCCCAGATGCCACTCCAGAGAATACGAGACATGCAGAGAACCAGAACTCGGGGCAGGGGCTGGGAGAGAGGCTGGGCCTAGAGGGGCAGGGCGTGCGGGATCCTGGAGGAGGAGCAGGAGCATGGCGGCTGCTGGGGGTGTCGGTGAGGCTTCACGCTCACTGGGGGCTGGAGGTGGGAGGTGCAGGGTGGAGGAAGAGCAAAGGCCAAGGGCCCAGGAACCAGAACTGTGGGTCATTGGAGTGGGGGAGAGGGGGCTGGGAGGAAGCTGTGGGGGCGACTTGTCAGTGGGCCGGGCGGGCCCTAACCTACCTCGCTGTGGGCGAACCCTTCCAGGGCAGGAGCAGGTCCCAGCCCAGAGCCACAGTGAATCTTTCAGGAAATACCCCAGGTACAGAGCATGTTTGCCCAGAGCAAGGGGGGCAGGTCCTGTCCTGTGGATCGGCCCTCTCTGCCTGTGCTTCCTCCTGGGGTGAGCCCCACCCTCACCACTCCACCTGGGCCTGTCAGGGTCTCAGAGGCCACTTCCCGTGGGCAGCCTGGCCCCACCATCCCTTCCTGGGCCCTGGCTCACAGCCGGGGTATCTAGAAGTAGACTAGCCCCTCCTCCCAAAAATGGGGGAATTATCATCATTCTCTCCATGTGTGACCTTCAATGAGGTACTTTCCCTCCCTGGACCTCAGTTTCCTCATTATTATGACAGGATTGAATTTATGGTCCCCAAATATGGGAACTGAGCTGGCTGCTGCCCAATCAGCCAGGGAGTTTGTTAAGAATACAGATGTTTCAGGCTTTACACTCAGAGAATAGGATACAGTGGGCCTGGGCAGGGCTCCAGGCAGCTGTATTTTTAGTAAGTTCCCAGTTTGGAAACCCTGCCTCAAGCACCCCCTTCCCCAGTTCCCACAGTCACAGTGACACTGGGAGCTGAAGGTCAGTTACCGGTGAGCTCTGCCCAGCCTTCCTGCTTCCCCACCCTGCCCCCCTGACTCAGGTAGATCAATATTGACCAGGGGCCCCTCCCCTGCCTCTGACTCCTGCCACCCCAAGTCCCGAAACATTCTGAGACCCTGGCCCTGGGTCAGCAGAGTCAATGCCAGAGCAAGGCTTGGGGCCCAGAGGATTTTATTGCTGCCCAACTCCTACCCAACATGTCCTCCCCTCCTGCTAGTGAGACTCCCGGCTCACTGGAGAAACCACCAGGGCTCCTGATCACTGACTCCACTCTACACAACGGGCCAATCCCCAAATTCACCGTGAAGAAGGGGCACTGTGCCACCCTATGGCTCTCCGTGGAAGGCATGTTTCCTAGCAAAAGGCTGAATTAGTTGGGCAGGGGTACAGAGCTCCCTTTGGCCCATGGCTCTCCCCTGAGGCACCTCACAGGACACACTGCTCCTGTCCAACCACTCACTTTACAGATGGGGACGCCGAGGCCCAGCCTCCAAGGTGCCTTGTCATGGAGCGGGAAGGTGCCAGCAAACCCTGGGCCTCCATCTTGGCTAGATGCTGGCACACAGACCTCACTCTCCTTCTTCCTGGGCTATTTGGAGGCAAGAGCTGGCTTATTTCTTTATCTATACAAAAGATAGAAAGCCCGTGAACGCCATCGCACCTGGAGGCCCCTATACGCCATGTTTCGCACTATGCACTCTGATCATTTTTTTTCAAATACGCATCGAGTATCTATATTACCTCACTTAATCCCCTGCAGAGGGAAAACTATTCTCCCCCATTTCACATCTGAGGACACTGGCAGTCAGAAAGGTGAAGCAGCCGAGTCAGCCGGGCCGCACAGCCAGTGAGCGATGGAGTTGGAACCAGGCTTTGATCATCAGATGTCCGAGTCTGCCTCGGCTCCTTCTGGCCACAATTCTCAAAGGGATGAAGCTCACAGATGCTGTGGACTTTAGTAGGAAAAGGTTTTATTTCCCTTAAATTAAAAGTGATCCTGGATGGGGTGTTGGCGGGCAGCCACCATGCGGCGAGAGGGCGGGATGCTGTTCTGTCCTGGGGAGGAGGTCAGGCAGCAGGAAGTCAGGAGGAGACAGCAGGGGGCAGCTGGCCCAGGATCCTCAGGCGGGCGGGTGGCCCTGCATGCCCTTCCAGGGCAGAACCAGCGTCAGCAAGGCCTCGAGCTCCATAGGGGGCGGCTTCATGCTCAAGGAGCCAAACTTTCCATGAGCCACCAGCAAAAAATGAGTCTGGGGAAGAATGTCCACCACAGACCCAGAGTTCAGCCGCCTGGGGTCACGTGGAACTGAGGGGCAGGGACCGGGACTGCCTTAACTCTTTGCTGGCTGTCCCCAGAGCCACCAACAAACCTGCTTCTGTCTGATGCTACACCATGTAGAGCTGTGAACTGGCACTGTGGGCACCCCAGGCCACAGAGCAAGGGCGGGGAGGAGCTGGCAGTGACCCCAGATCTGTGGTCAAGCACCCCACTTCCTGCCAAGATGCCCTGTTGCCACCTCAAGCACTCTGGGATCCAAGGTGTGTGATGTAAGAGTTTTAACTGCATGGAAGGGAGACAGGTTGTCTCAGAAGCCCATGAACCCCTGTGCAGGCTGGCATGGGCTGTCAGGGCTCACCAGATGGAGCGCTGAGCCAGCCCCCTGGACTCTAGGTGACCACACGTGGGGGAGGGGAGGGTGTATGGAGGAGGGACCTAGCGGATGGGTAGGTTTGCCCTGGGTGGATTGGAAGGCACCAGGCCTGGGCCTACTCCAGGTGCCACACAGAGAGGAACTTGGCTTGAGGAGGTAGAGGTGAGCACAGGGTCAGAGTTCACTGAGGACCA